TTAATTTTTTTCCATAAATTGATGTTTAACTTATCAGCCGGTCCTGTAAGTGCGAATTTAATTATATGATTGCCACATATTTAGATAAATTCATAAAGTTTATTTGCTTGCATCACAATATATTATAATTGTGCTATATTTGCAATAAGAGTAAAGTGGGAATCGGCATATTTACTTCTTGTAATGACTAGAGTTACTAAAAAAATTACGGAACTACTAAAATTTCTCCGAAATTTTTTCTATTCAATAGAAGTTCAAAACAAAAAACCACAAACGCAACACCAAGACCAAACATCAATATATAAACCAACCCAGCGATTTGATCATAATTAATCGCTTTACTTGTAATCCTTTTAACGTCAACAATGTGATCATGCACACGAGCGCGGTGTAAAAGCAATTCCATAAAATTCAGATATATTCCACCTTCGAGAACTCCCACCATCATACGATCAATCTGTTCAAACATCGGATGCCCCTTTTGTAGAACCACTATTATAAAATACAGTATTGCAAAATCTTCAAGAGGGTACACAGCAGGCGTACCATCCGCATAAACAAAATCATGCAAGGTTGTATTTCTTCGCAAAAGAAAATAATTGTAGTTTCTTTGCGTGGTACAGAATGTTACATTACGATAGCGCTTCAATGCAACAATAGTTGCCTCAACCTGCTTCACGTCATCTGTTACAACTGTATTATTGTAAATATATCTATCTCTAGGATCATCCGAATCAAAGGAGGTGCGTATGAATGATGGCATCGTAATCGTCAATTTGTTGTCAATTACTTCCTGAACTGTTGATATCTGATGTTCATATTCTTTCATTGTTAACTTACCGATGAGAGCACCTTCAAATGCACTTCCAATCATAAATGAAAAAACCCAGGTCAGCAAATGAAGAAATTTTAATCTTGTGGTTCGCGGTGTATAAGACTCTACTTCAGCGAAGAAAAATCTTAGTATTGTAGTGCTAGAATTCCAAAGATGTTTAAAATACATCAATTCTGTGCTTGAACATTTAGCAAAGAAAATCCATGCTGCAGTTAGCACAATACCAGTAATCAATATAAATATCCAAGTAATTCGATGAAATGTATATACTAATTGAAAGAAATCAGTTTGTTCACGTGCTGTGACCACCATCCATAAGACTCTGTCATCATAATACATATTCGTTGCGTCAAAATCAATAAATATATCTTGATGATTGTTTGATACTGATCCAATTAAAATATCTGCTTGTCTTTTTTGCACCACAGACAAACCACCATTGTAATTTCCATTTGGCAGCTTGGTGCCCCAATAAGAGAGAAAATTAATTCTCTTTTCCTTCAATTTGAGGTGTTTAATAATTATTTCATTGTACATAGTGAAATCGGTACCACTTCTCCCATCTTTTAATTTATTATAGACTGCATAATATGGTAAAAATTGTATGAACTGGGGACAAATCGTCGAGTTTCTCCATACGGATGGAATTTTTTGTGGAAAATATAAATTATTAGTTATTTCTTCATAATCAGTTTGTGGATTGTTCAGATTTTCATATTTATACGGATAATATGTATAGACACGATTATTTGAAACAATAATCACGTTGTATATGTAGTGTTTTATTAAAACTGTAATTAATTCTTTCCAAATAAAGTCGTTGAATTGTTCTAAGTAAATGATAGATTTGGCTCGAGAATTCCATGATCGCATTTTAGACAATTGGTCAAATGTATAGCTAAATTTTGGTTGTTTAAAATGAAAGAAATAAGCATCCATTCTACCAAACATTAATTTTAAGTTTAAATCATAGGTGATATTGTTATTTATTACTGTTACAATTTTATAATAATTTGAAAATACATCTATATCATTGAGATTGTTATCACTGCAATATAACAATTTCATATTGGGATGTAATACGTCTTGAATTATATCAGAAATGTACAATAATTGTAATGATGCACTCAGAAGTGACATAATATTAGTGGCGATTGTGATATTCATATTGCTAAAGTTTACTTTATATTTCGTCAGATTTTGCTATAGTACTTACTGATGCAACGTGTGAAAACAAAGTAATGTAAATTCAGAGTTACAATAAAATTAGTTTAATTTTATTATTGATTTTTATTTGATTTTTCCGTAAAAACATTCGAGATTACTTTTTTGAGACATTTAAACTACTCATTAAGTTAAGTTGCCATTAAATGTAATATAATCATAATTATAACTAATATTCTTTATGCACTTCTAGGATGTAAAAGAGACTACTCGTATACTTGTATGTTAATTAACTTGGATGGGTACGATACTCGTGCATATTTAGTAAAATGACTCTTATATATATGACAGGATAATGGATATACATTTCTAGTAATACACATGATTTGTGTAAATACTTTCACCAGGCAGGTTTACACATGCATTATGATGGTTTCCATTATTTTATGAATTATATATGTTTTAATTTATAAATATATGAATAAATGGATGGTACGCATATTTTTTTGAAAGTTTTTGTCTCAAACTGTATTGAAAATGTTCAATAATTGATACCAGCCTTGTTGCCGAGGGGCAAACATCCTACATCTCTTATAGCAAACGATTACGATTTTCTCATTATCTAGTAAATTGTTTCTAAATTAAATTATACTTGTGAGTTATGTTTATTAACTGTAGTTTATTATTGCAAGTAAACTGCAAGCAATTCTCCAAAAAATATCAGAATTGAAAGTGTCAAACCAAGCAACCAAACATACAGCAACCCGGAAATCTGCTTATAACTAATCGCTTTGCTCACAATTTTCTTCACTTCCAAATTTTGTTCAAATACCCGTGAATTATGCATAACTTCCTCTAGAAAATGCAGATAGATTCCACTTTCAAAAATCCTACTTAACATATTATTTATCTGTGGAAATATGGGATGACCTTTTTGAAAGATCAAAACAATTGCCAGTGACATAGAAAAGTCATCCAAATAATATACGGCAAGAGACCCATCCGGAAACACAAAATCATGCGTTGTTTTGTTCCGCAGTGTAATCATATAGTCGTAGGACCTTTGAGTTCCCAAAGTGGTAATGTCCCTGTCGTGAATAAGTCTTGCGATGGCTTCCTCAATCAATTTCACATGATCCAATTGAATGGTAACGTTATAAATGTATTGCTCTCTTGGGTCGGAAGTAAGAAAAGATGTTCGAAAAAAACCAGGCATGGAAATCAACAGTTTTTTGTCGAGAACTTCTTGTATCGTAGATATTTGATGTTCAAATTCTTTCATTGCAAGTTTGCTAATCAGCGATCCTTCGAAAGCGGATCCAATGGCAAATGCAAAAATCCATGTTAAAACATACATTAGTTGCAATTGTCTTGTTCGTGGCATATGATGCGATAATTCAGCAAAGAAATATCTTAACACCATCGTGCTAGCATTCCAAAGCACTTTAAAATATTTTAATTCCATAGACGAATATTGTGCAATAAATATCCAAGCACACGTTAGTGAACCAAAAGTTACAATTATTCCTAACCATGATAATTTGTTAAATACGTAGACAAATTGAAAGAAATCTATTTTTTCTCGGGCTATTGGTACAAGCCAAATGACTTTATCATCAAAATACACTACAGTGGTACCAAATTCCATCATGATTTCAGGATAATTATTAGAAGCGCCACCGATTAAAAAGTCCGCTTTCTTTTGCTTGACCAAATCCAAACCGCCATTGTATTTACCATTAGGAAGTTTTGTGCCCCAGTAATAAAGGTATTCAAGATTCTGCGTAGACATATGTAGTTGTTTTACGAGTATTCTATTTAATAACAAATAATCTGTACCTTCAGTACTTTTAACTTTTCTAGTAGTGTTTGCACAGTAAGGAGCAAGAATGATAAACTGCGGATGTATTGTAGAGTTCCTCCATAATTGTGGTAGTCGTTGTCAAAAGTATAAATCATCAGTAATTTCTTCGTAATCCGTGTTTGGGTTATTGAAATCTTCGTATTTGTAAGGATTATATGTAATTACTTGATTTTTAGTTACGACAATCATGTTATAGATATATTTATCCAATAATGCATTATATAATTTATTCCATATAAAATTGTTTAAAGAGTTCAAATAGATAATGAATTTACCTCGGGAGTTCCATGAATGCATTTCTGAGAGTTGATCAAATGTCAAAGAAAAATTATACATATCAAAATGTAAAAAATAAACATCCATTTTGCCATATATTAATTTTGATTTTAAATTGTTAAACACTGATACATTGTACGTATATTTAGGAAAAGATGAAATTGCAGCTATGATATCGTTGTTGTGATCACTATAGTATAGTAATCTATCGTTGGGTTGCAATATATCTTGCATTAAACTTGTGATATAAGATAAATGCAATGTAGTGCTGACAAATGTGAGCATATCGGTGGTCAATGTTACGTTCATAATGTCGTAATAATTAAACAACCGAATATACTTTTTTTTTCATACCTTGAACAAATATACAATGTAAATATATTCATGATTGATAGATGTGACAACCCAAAATTTTAATCACATTATATTTATTAAAGGGAAACAATGAAGGGTCAAATTATGCTTCAATGTTACTTCGCCACACGCCTTTTGACGAGAAGTAATATTCATTTCATTAATTTCGATTGGTATCATTTCCAATTTTCACTTTAAAATCTCACGAAAATTAAACGGATTTTAAATACTGGATTCTTGCATAATTATTATGTTTGTTGAGGTTTAATCAGTAATTTAGATTAATTTAACACTATAATAGTTAAAGAGTTCCTTAACAAGATAAGTATAAAAATAAATGGTGCAATCTGGGTAGCATATGTCAATTCAGTAAGATGCAATGCACAATAAGTAAGATACTCTATAAGAAGATGCAATACAATATAGAAACAAGCACGAAGTGGCGTGATCAAGCGCGATTGTGGATTTATCTCTTATCTTAGTGCACAACATACCGATGAAAACAACTTCACGCTGTGTTTACCTGTACACGAACTGCACTCTGCAGTTACGTCCGGTCTGTTTTTGGTGCAGGGTGGTACAAACTCAGCTCGCGCAGGTTTATTAAAAATTTAATTTGACGAATCTAATTTAATTATATTAAAATTGAAAATATGTTATTTGAACCGGGCGTCTTGAGTTAATAAGTCTGTCTGTGATGCGTTTGCTAATCCGGTGCCGAAGTGATGCGTATTTATAATCAATTAGCACTCTATTTTGGATCAGGTAAGTAACATAAATCATTTATTTCATGTCTTAATGACATTACAAATATTTTTCTTAACGCAAAGGGCAAGAGTTAAGCGACGCCTGACTAGGCAAACTGACCGTTGCACGTTGTATACAATTGGGAACTAATATTACTTACATTACTCACAATTCTGGCCGGCTTATTTAAGTTTTATATAAATGATTACACATATATGTATATTTGCAAAATTTAATATCGTCAAGTATCTGATTACTTGGATTTTATGCTTTGTTTAAAAAACGCCCTCGCAGTTGATTTTCGGTGCAAATTTTATTGCACCAGGTTGAAATTTCAATGCTTGTCTCGTCACGTATGCTGCGTGCGCGCGTGCCATCATTCGGCTCAATTTGTTGTTGTCGATCTATTAATGGACAACCATCCTATGCTTATAGTTTATATGTTATGTAGTTACAAACATATTTGGCTTAGTAAAAATGATTCCCACGTGAAATGTTCTCAAAACGCTATGGGGTAAGGATCGCAATAAGGAATAAATCATTTTCAATTTTCATCTCTTGTGGAACCAAGTTGTTGACAGTCGTGCGAAATGATCTTAATCTCTTTTTTGTTTCATCACTAGCATTTGATGTGCGGCATGCAATATGCTGATAAGTTAATAATTAATTATCCATGTTATACTTATATATGCGCGTAGTACCTACATGCATTTTAGAATTGTATTCGTTTCTTTCTATAATCGCTTATCAGTGTTTGTGTATAAACAACTTTTTTTCTTTATCGAACTCGACTTTCGCGTGCCGTTGCAGTATCCACAACGTGCTTTGAAGTATTTGACTAAAATGCTATGTTTATAATCGATGTTGGTACTAGTATAAGTTCTTCAACTCCTTTTCCCTAAATATAATTAACACTTCAGAACTATTGCGCACAGAGATTCTCTATTTCAAATCGAATTGCCGCCCCCCGAAATCACGCTAGAAATGCCCTAAAATCGCTCTGACATTTTTACAATTTGTGTGAATTTTAAAAACACAAGGTGGAAATTTGGCTGTATCTCGGGAACGGTTTGTGCGATTTTAATAATCTTTGAAAATTTAGGTAAAGCGATAGGTATTATATGCTATACGACATTACAGCCCCCCGAAATCCCGTTAGAAATGCCTTAAAATCGCTCTTAAACATTTACGATTTGTGTGAATTTTCAAAACATTTGGTGGAAATTAGGCTGTATCTCAAGAACCGTTTGTGCGATTTTAATGATATTTTCAAATTTAGATAAAACGATAGGTATTTTATACGATGCGACATTGCCGCCCCCCGAAATCACGCTAGAAATGCCCTAAAATCGCTCTTAAACTTTTACTATTTGTGTGCATTTTTAAAACACTCGGTGGAAATTTGGCTGTATCTCGAGAACCGTTTGTGCGATTTTAATGATATTTTCAAATTTGGATAAAGCGATAGGCCTTTTATAAGATGCGACACTGCCGCCCCCCGAAATCACGCTAGAAATGTCGTAAAATCGCTCTTAAACTTTTACTATCTGTGTGCATTTTTAAAACACTCGATGGAAATTTGGCGGTATCTCGAGAACCGTTTGTGCGATTTTAATGATACTTTCAAATGTAGATAAAGCGATAGGGATTTTATGCGAAACGACATTGCTGCCCCCCGAAATCACGATAGAAATACCTTAAAATCGTTCTCAAACTGTTACAATTTGTGTGAATTTTCAAAACACTCCGTAGAAATTTGGTTGTGTAGCGGGAACCGTTAGTGTGCTTTTAATAGTATTTTCAAATTTAAATAAAGCGATATGCATTTTATGCGATACGACATTACTGGCCCCCAAAATCACGATAGAAATACCTTAAAATCGTTCTCAAACTTTTACGATTTGTGTGAATTTTTAAAACATTTGGTGGAAATTTGGCTGTATCTCGTTTGTGCAATTTTAATGATACTTTCAAATTTATAAACATAAAGCGATAGGTATTTTATCGACGCGACATTGCCGCGCACCGAAATCACGCTAGAAATGCCTTAAAATCGGTCTCAAACTTTTACAATTTGTGTGAATTTTTAAAACACTCGGTGGAAATTTGGCTGTAGCTCGAGAACAGTTAGTGCGATTTTAATGATATTTTCAAATTTATATAAAGCGAGAAGCATTTTAAATGATGCGACAATGCCGCCCCCCGAAATCGCACTAGAAATGCCTTAAAATCACTATCAAACTTTTACGATTTGTCTGAATTTTCAAAACACTCGGTGGAAATTTGGCTGTACTAAGTTATAAAATAAATAATATATTAAAAAATTACTTTTGTTGTTATTAAGTTAACATAATAAATTATATAATTATTTATTTCAATTTTAAAAAGTGTAGTTACAATACACTAACACTGACACTGAAAAGGAAGTAAATATACACTTTATAAAGATGCCCTCAGGGCAAAACATGTTATGTAAATTGAAATTCCAATATTCACGCAAAGTTTATAAATAAATATTTCAAATAAAATATAATTCATAAAACATAAATATTTAAAATTTTATTTTTGTTTTTGTTAAGTTAATGTAATGACTTTTGTAATTGTTAGGTTAATTTTATATGGTGTTGAGTTACAATTATAACACTATAACACAGAAAAGGAAATAAATATAAGTTTAGTGACATTCAAACGTGTTTTATAAAGTGTAAAGTACGCTTACAATCCACGTGTGTGTTAGCTTAGCCTCGGTATTTTGTCACAATTATACATAAAATATCACTACATAGTATAAAGTAAAGTCGCTTTTTTTCCGGTCCCTTTGTGAGCTTAAATCTTTGAAACTACGCAACGGATTTTGATGCGGTTTTTTTTTAATAGATAGAGTAATTCAAGAGGAAGGTTTGTATGTATAATAACATCCATTAAATAGTGGAGAAGTACTGTTATTTTTGAGGTTTCTAATGTGATATCGTAAATACAAAGTTTTCGATTATTCCCGTCTGCTCTTTGTGCGATGCTTCGTAGCTTCCCCCTCCAAGCATAGACGTGTGTATGTGTGTACGTGTGGGTTGAAGTTGACCGGTAGATGTTTTTGTTTGGAGAAGGAAAGTCGCTTTCTCTGTCTGTCCCTTTGTATGCTTAAATCTTTGAAACTGCGCAACGGATTTTTTTAAAATTGCGGACGTAGCGTTTTCGGCGGTGCCGGCCGGCCGCCCGGTGCGGCAAGAGCGTGCCTATAAATAGCGCGTCTGAGGCCGCGGTTTTCCCTGTAGCACTTTGAATTTAGCAGCGAAGATATTCCAAAGACAGCAGGAAATCTTCATGGTATAGGGAAAGGTGGATAGTTTTACTCCAAATTTAACGCGTGCGGGCCACGGGCAGTAATGAATAAATCAAAACTACTGGATCGATTTTAATCACATAGGCTATATATTTTAAACCCGTGCGAAGCCGTAGCGGGCCGCTATGTTTTTATATACAACGTTCACAGTTTTTCTGTAGTGTATTTAGTATCAGTATTGCAACCGTGCGAAGCCGGGGTGGGTCGCTAGTAATACATATAACATAAATATATAAAATTTTACTATTGTTTTTATTAAAATTATATAATAACTTATATAATTATTTATTTCTATTTTACAATGTGAAGTGTTATAATTCTATCACTGTTGCAGTGAATTAAAAATAAGGAATATTTTACTGTCCTACACACACATAAAAGAGTGAAGTAACCTTTACAAAAATGTTTGTGTTCTATATGAGCCTTAGAAGTTGTACATAAAAAATACTACTATAAACTACTATATTTAATTCTCTTTTCTCATAGTTCTCGGGAGCGCCGTCTTAAGAACAACAGAACAGTTTTTAAAGATGGGCTGTTAAATTGATATTCGGATTCTAGTCTACTTTGCGGTGAGTAAATTGGATGTAAATTGTTTGAATTACTCCTTGTTCGTTGTTATGCTAATGCAGTTTTGTTTTCACCTCAGGTGGATGTGGAAGCGACCTATTAATCTGCACGGGGCTATCGTGTTCATGACGATAAGCGTCTTTTGGTTTCCTCAGAACGCACTAGGATTTTCGGACTTGTTTCAAAATGTAAGTGATAGAATTTACTGTTTTCCTAATTTTTTACGCAGATTATGGTGCCGGACAAAATGATTTCTTGCCCTGTATTGGAGAGAGTTTTGTTGAAAATATAACAAGCCTAACAAGAAAGCATCTTTAGGTTTCTTTACAACGTGTTCTCAGGACACTGCCTAATTTTTCCCAAAATGTAAGTAATTTTATATAATATTTTATTTTTGCTATAATTTTCCATATATTTTCGGGCATTTCTTATGACGAAAGACTAAAAATATGCATACGTTTCATTCTAATAATGGGTGCGTTTTAGGTTTAACGCGGCGCCGTCGGTTGATGAAAAGCAGCACCGAGGATGAAACTACCGAATGCTGCCTTTGAATTTGAATGCGAAAAAAGAAAGACCAAGCACTTCTTGACCTGACCTGTTTGAGAAGTGAAACCAGCTCCCAAATCCAACCAATTGTGCAGGATAAGACTCAACAAGACTCAACAAGAACTGATGAATTGTTACCTGCGCTTTTAAGAATATTTGTTTATATAATATGAAAACAACTTGATTGAAAATTTAATGCTGCTGGAAAATAGCGCCAAATTTAGTTTTACGACGCACTTTATTTCAAAATGCAGCCCAAGATTTAATCCCAAATTGTTGTTGCAATATATGTTAGATTGTATTGTTTTTACTATAGACATATTCAATTCCACGCCGGGAATAAAATTGTATTGTTCTATATTTTATATTTTCGTTATTCTTTAATTTGACTGAGATAAGTAACGTAAAACTTTAGTTATAAATTTAATTTAGACTACTCCTAAGATGAGCAAAATTCGGCTGATTTTGATTCTGTGCACAAAATGCTACAATAATTTTAAATTGTTTGAAATATTGCTTTGAAAACAGTGGAATACAAGTGATAACATAACAAAAAGATACGGAACGCAGAGGTATGCGAAAGAGGCCTAAAACAGGACAATAATTGTTTATCAAGTGTAAATTGTTAGTTTTCATTTACTCTTTGCTTTGTTAAGTACAGCGTTAAAGCACAGCACTGTAAATAGTCGATTCAAAATAAAATTTTACATTTCATCAACAAGTATATTAGGTAGCCATTTACTGCTATGGATGTGTTGTCATGTGTTGCAAATTGCGTTTAACATTAACTGCACTATGGCGGTACAGAATCGGCACTTATATTTGCTTATTACAAGTCGAAACATGTAAATTTTTAACTTATAAATGTATTTTCACTGAGAGCGTTTTTTTGTCTATTTGCACTGGTTTAATTGAAGGATCTGCAATTGTTTCGCCGGTGAGGACATCGTCAGGACTATCAACACGGCACTTCAAAGACATTGCTTAAATAATATTTCTAGACTTAAGTCGGCGGAGACGCGTACTTGGATGGAATAATATTTATTTTGTGATACCTATTTAAACTTTGCGACTCTACCACAGGTAGGATTTTTAATTTATTTTTAAAATGTATGACAAATAAGCAAGTTGTAAAATGATGTACTTAATTATTTAGGTTTATTACTTTCTTTGGCGAATATGTAATCCATTTTTATATTTGAAATATTTATTTATTTATAATTTTTCGTGAATATTGGATTTACAATTTATATTTGGAGTTGACATGTTTATGAAGTTTATGAGTTTATGAAGATGCCCTCTGGGCGAAACATGTCAACTCCAAATATAAATTGTAAATCCAATATTCACGAAAAATTATAAATAAATAAATATTTCAAATATTAATTATTTAGGATTATTGGAACACAAGCGGAGCGGTAATCAAATAAAAATGAATGAATCAAAAGTAATAAATACTACCCTGATGCTTTTAATTTTGTTTTGTCTCTGCTATGCTGCTTGTGTCGGCGCAGCGCGTAAGTTTTCTTGCTTACATATTTAGATAGTACTAGTAGGGGCTATCTGCTTTGTTTACGTTTGATGTCAATTCTCTTTACAGTTTAGTCGATCGCGCGCTGTGCTACGGTTAACACGTGTTTTGTTAGTCGATCGTTAGTCGAGCGACTTTTCGCGTTTCTTAATTTAATTCTGTAATTGTCTTTATCGGCCTATCTTAACAGGCTAATGTGGCGCAGCCTGTGCGCTTGGGATGTTCCGTCGGCCGTCGTAATGGAATTATCTGCAATGGTTTCAATGGTTCATCGGCAGTCGTTTATCTTTTCGCATATTGGCAAAACTAGGATTTACTATAAATTCCTGCTGATAAACAACGTTGGTGCTCAGTTTTTGAGTTTGGGAGGCATGGAATCTGCGATATACATGAAAGAAGTATAGGAGGTGCGCACATTTTAAGGTAAGTCTTTACTGCTACGATATTTGGGATTCATCAATGTTTTTTATTTGAAAGATATATGTATTTTAAATGTTGACAATAAAGCATATTGTAATGTTATAAACTAATTCTTATTTATTTTCGTGGCTTCCCTTTTGTTGTTTTCTGTATCGATGTCTTAAATCATATAGTATATAAATCTTATGTGCGTGAAGCGTGTACAATGCATTGCTGTTGTCTAAATTGTGTTGATGTTTTTAAAACATGATAAAAACTGAAACATATATAGAAGAATCAAATAACAACAATAAGAACACTCGGTGGTCGAGTGGAGACGTGCACCTGCTGGCATGCTAGCAGTCACGGATCGAATCTCAGGTATGGAAGGCATTTTTCTCAAATATAAAAATAACAGATGTAATTTGGGTTGCATATATGAATTGCAACGAAATATAAGAGAAATTACAATACAGAGAAATAGGAGAAGTAGAAGAAGGAATAGCAGAGAAGAGAAGAAGACAGATGGGAGAATAGAGTAGAGAAGAGGAGGAGGAGGAGATATAAGAAAGAGAACAGGAGAGGATCGGATTTTTAAATTTTTTGGCCCGTGTCGTTAGACAGTCTAAGCCCACTGCTTCGATGCGTCCATTGCTCCCGGCCCATCCTACAGCTACGATGCCTCTGCGCTTCATCCCCGAAATTATCAGGCATATCGACAATTTTTATGGTGGGGGATCACCCCCAGAGAGAGGGAACTCCTTATAAAAACAATCCTTATAAGGTCTTGTTTAAATATTTCTAAGTTTTAAGTCGGCTTAAGAGAGGCGACACTTAAAAATATTCTTACAAGTTTTGACCTGTAGCTGAAATGAAAGAAGGAGTACACAAATCATACAGGTTACTTTAACAATTTCTATAGAGGGGATCATCCCCTGAGAGAGGGAACTCTCTTAGAGACCTGTTCCTGAAATGATAGAAGGCGTTCATACAAATCAAAGAAGTCAGCATATCATACTATTTCTTTATTAACAATAGAATACTAGTTTAGACTTTTCAAGTCAACAGAATATATGTCGCCATATTGAAACAGGACTTACGACCTGCTAAGCCGCGCACATATGAGCAGGTAGCACTTCGTACAGTTCTGTCGGAATAAAGAAATTAGCAAATAGTTCATTTTCTTTGAAAATGAAAACAAATATACAGGGTGTTATTTTAAAAAACAATGCTGCAAAAAGAAACTCACATTAAAACAATAAACTTTTCTCATTTATAGCTGGATTTAAGGGAAATGTGATATACTGGGTGTTACAAAAAGTATTTAGAAAATTAAAGAAGAAAAAATCTGGAAACTTGAAATTTTATTAATGTTTGTAAATTCAAGGAAAATTAATATACAGGGAGATACAAAAAGAAAATTACTAATTTAAAAACAAAATCAAAAGTTCAAAAAGAAAAACGCCAATAATAATCAGTTTTTCAATCAAAAGGAAAGAAAATAAATACACAAGGTATTATAAAAAAATATTACTACATATATTATTATATTATCATTGGAGGACTTCCGATAGAGGATGACCCAAGAAAAATACAACTACATTTTGTATAAAGTACTAAAGCGATAGAAGAAAAACAAGAACAATGATACCTGTTTCTCCATGGAAGTCAAACAAAAATTAAAATAAGGTGATAGATATATAAAACACCAATAAGAATTTAAATCTTTTTTTTTGCAACGAGAGTTCCCGGTACTCTACCATCAAAACGAATTTGGAACATGGAAAACGTCTTTTATATAATTAATTATCAAACTATTAAACGCGTTAACCCGATTACAGAATTAAGAATACAATAAAAAAAGGGTGTGCTGACAGGAGTAGTAGAAAAAGTTCACGCTACATCATGAATATAATAATGATGTAATAACACACACACAAACTTACCTATTTAACAGGTAATCAGAACAGAACAGGTAATAATTCAGAAATAACTGAAACAGAAAAAAAAAACACTTGAGTTAGAACTCGCACTATGCTGTATAATTAAATATTATGTTCGTTCCGTCGGATAATACACTTGTATTGCATGTGGTATTTTGACTCACAATGATCTGATCATTACGAGCAAGTACTTGTAAACTTGCTTAAGTAGAATCTCACCAAGGACAGAAGTTAATTATATGTACTCGAAATTAACAGTGGTATATATTTTATTGAAACACTGCACCTTGTAAAATAAAAATAAATAACTACATAAGTGACTTCTTTAGCTCAATAAAACTAAAAAAACTAAAGTAAAATTTTATTTATTATATTTTTTATGTACAACTTCAAAGGCTGCCTTAACACAAACATTTTTGTAAAGGATATTTCACACTTAATATGTGTGTAGTATCGTAAAATATTACTTTTTCTATTTCACTGTTACAGTGCTATATTTGTAACACCGCACATACGTATAATTGTGTCAGTCTACCAAAACTTAGTTAACACACCCTTGGTGTGTAAAACGTACTTTGCACTATATAAAACGAGTTTATACGAGTATTTCCATCTCCGTGTTACAATGTTATAAGTTTAATACTACACCATATAAAATAGAAATAAACAATTATATAAATCACTTCGTTAACTTAACCCCCCTTCCCCGTTTGATAATTTATTTCCACGATTTTTGATAGTGAATATCTTATAAAACTTTATCTAAATAAAGTTTCTTAGCAACTTGAAAATTATAAATTATTCCAAGCGCCACGAGTACTACAGCGCAAACACACAACTTTCAATATAACTCGCGTTACGGAATTTTCTCGCAATAAATTTCAATACAGGGAGAGACAAAATAATATTCTGCATCTGGAAATACCATTACGAACTTATTGTGGCACTGCGTTCGCGTGTAATATTAAAAACTACAATTCCTAGTGCAACGAGTACTACGACGCACACACACAACTTTCAATATAACTCGCGTTACGGAACTTTCTCGCAATAAATTTCGACACAGGGAGAGACAGAATTAAATTCTGCATCAGGAAAAATCATTCCGAACTTATTGTGACACCGCGTTCGCGTGTGATATCAAAAAACCTACAATTCCTAGCGCAACGAGCAGTAGTGCGTATACACACAACTTTCAATATAACTCGCGTTTCAGAATTTTCCTGAAACAAATTTCCATACCGGCGGATACAGAATTTAATTCCACATCTATAAAAATTATTCCGAACTTATTGCGACACCGCGTTCGCGTGTTATATTAAAAAAACTACAATTTCTAGTGCAACGAGTACTACGGCACACACACACAACTTTCAATATAACTCGCGTTACGGAATTTTCCCGCAATAGATTTAGACACAGGGAGAGACAGAATTAAATTCTGCATCAGGAAAAATCATTCCGAACTTATTGTGACACCGCGTTCGCGTGTGATATCAAAGAAACTACACTTCCTAGCGCAACGAGTACTAGTGCGTATACTCACAACTTGCAATATACCTCGCGTTACGGAATTTTCTTGCAATAAATTTCTATTCAGGGAGATACAGAGTTAAATTCCGCATCTGGGAAAATTATTTCGAACTTATTATGACATCGCGTTCGCGGAATTTTCTCGCAGTAAATTTCAATACAGGGAGATACAGAATTAACAATGAGTACAACGGCGCACACACACAATATTTATACAAATTTTCGTGGGTTATTAATAAATTGAAATGGGTAGCGGAAGAAGTGACTCCCATTCAGTTCACCGTACGAGGCTAGTGGTAAGTGACTCGTGTTCAGGGCACCGTACGAGGGCAGCAGTAGAAGTTACTCCCATTGCGAAATAATGGGCCAAGGGTGTGCGGTATCCTGTTTTTTGAGAATTTAGGAAATATTTTTTAAACTAAAAATGCTAGCGACCAGCCGATCGAAGATAATATAATTAAATACGGAAATAATTAAAATACGGGGTGTAAAGGTTTTGAAATCGTGTCTAAAAGTACAAAAAAGTGAACTTTTTAATTTTTTGAGAGTTTTCTCCGATTGTGAATATCTCGAAAACTAAAAGAGATACAGCGGATTGTAACCCGACTGTCTTGTGTCTTTGCAACACGCGGTGGAACGTGAAAAAAAACTACTTAAAAACTACTAATGTACGACGCAGAAATTAAAACGAAAAATATAATTGAATTATAAACTTACCAATGCAGAGACACATCGGACTCCAAGGCATGGCAAATACTGTAAATAAGAAAAGAAAACATTATATTCATGTAATATTATATTCAAACAGCGGAGAAAAATAAATGGCACAAGAGCCCGTGACGGCTATGTGTGCCCCCAACACGGGTAAGCACGATCCCCAATTATGAAACCTGGATTGTGGTTCCTTTGGCAGTTAACAGCCAACAAAGATGAACCAATTATAATGTCAAATACGTTATTTTAGTAAACTATATTTTTGCATATTTTATTCGTAACATTATTATAACATGCGCTGCTCATTGCCAGACACTTGGTATGGTTTCAATTCCAGCCAGACACCCCAAAACTATAATATTTTTTAATTATAGTTACGTCATATTAGGAAAGCAGAATTTTATATATAAATATTATTCAGAGAGCTATTAAACTTAGTCGCCAGACAGTTTGGTGGATTCTATCATCCTGCCAGACGCATTGAAAGTGTGTAATAGTTGCAAAAGTTAAATTGTTCAAAAATTTTACCGAAAAGTAATTTTATTTTCAAATATTTAATAATTTTTATGATTGTCCTCAATATCTCCATCTGACCTACATGTTTCGAGTACGTACCTACTTCCGAGAAAACATTCGGGGCGGTTTTGGTAATCCATATACATACTCGTATATCCGACAGCCGATCGAAAATTAATTCTCGTAATTCTCATGCACAATAAATAAAACACAATCAAATATATAGACACCGAGGAATCACGAAACACGACGTCTTGAATGCAACAGAGTCTAGTTTAACGCTGCGCGGAGATGTAAACAAACAAGTACCTGATAAAAATTGCACACGGCACGCGTTTGCTATAAAATGGCAATGTGCACTACCTCAACAAGCAACGAGTTGCGATAAACGCGTATAAAATTAATATGAGCATGCATGCGACATCTCTGATCACCTAAACTTATTTCAACTTATGCTTCGCTATGAATGATGCACCGCGAGAATCGCACGGACAAAAGTGTTGCACTGATACACTCATAATCTAATAAACGCAAAAAGTAAAGAATTTCACCACTTTTTTATTAAAACTGCGACATGTTTCGGCATACATATAAATACCCAAAGATCTCTATTTTATTAAAAAATTAATAATAGAATTTCATTAAGTAAAAGCCTCAACAATTCAAATCATTGAATATTTAAATAAAACAATAATTACAATTCACTTTTAAAACGCGAACCACAACTCCACGGCACCATGCTATTCTATGTTGCGACGGGTCTTGTACTTGCTGGTTAAAAGTGTGGGACTCACCTTCGTAAACATGCTATGCTAAAAAAACTACCATTCCTTTGAATATCACTCGCATCACAGAATTTTCTCGCAATAAATTTCGATACAAGGAGATACAGAATTGAATGCTGCATCTGGGGAAATTATTCGGAACACGAGAAGGTAATAATGGATACAAATAGAGTATCCGACGGCCGACGGAACATCACTCCCGTTTTACCTCTGCGTATAAACAATTCGCATTTAACGAACGCCGCACATCACTCGCGCACAATGGAAGGAGCATTTAGAAGTATTACGTAATGACGCGAAGAAATTAAGGAACTCAAATTATTGTGAAGAAAATGTGCGTGCAAATCACCCGACGACAAATAAGAGACTGACGTGGTAGGCAAGCCAACCACGAGGCGAACCGCGTGGCAACCGCTCAAAAATTGCACGAGATAAGAAAACTGGTTTGTTTGTAAACACTGACACATTCAGTGTGGTAATGCAGAACATGAAAAGAATTGTACTCGTTCAATGCATTAATTTCGATTAAATTATGAATTGGAGACCAGTAACAAAATTAGTAACCAGTAACCAGTAACATTATTATATATAGGTGTGTAAACACCTATTTTTTTTAAATTAAAATTGCAAATAGGTCATATACGTTCAATGTTAGGATAATAAATACATTATGTAATTAGCTCATATATAGTTGTTAAACTGTAGCCAAACTACAATGATACAATTTCAAAATCCATTACCATAATTATTTATCTGAAAATGTATTATTGGATGTTGTACGGTAGGAATGCATATCAAGTATACTTTAATGGCTTATTTTACGACGACGTCCATTTTCAATATGTATAATGCTGTATGGTAGGCATGTAATTTTAAATATTCCAAGCATTCAATTGCACTTCATTGTATACTGCACAAATATATCTATTTTACTGCAACAGAAATGTAGGAAAAATGGGCAAACATCTAGGAATAAATAATAATACAGAAAATATCTTTATATATCATGTATATTTATATAAACACATTCACACGTACATATTAGTAGTATTTAAATCGTTCTATACACAGCCGTTTTGATAAGTCGATACTCTAAGTGATTTGGCGAGTGCAATCTTTCGAATATGCATTTTGCTTGCTTTCATCTTCTCTCAATTTAGCATGTTTCAATCGGTTCAATTGCGAAATATCAAAGAGCTGTGTGTGTAGCAGTTGTCAACAGCAGAACATAGTTTCGAGATAATTCACCGTATCGTCCTACAAATCGATTAAATTCAAAACTAAATTCCATTGGCAGAGATGTCCCTCAACTTGATCTTGCTGCATCAATTTGTTTGCTTGCTTGTTTCTTACATACAACTAGACTAACATGTTCAAAAACTCATTCGCGTTCCTTCCCCATTCTCGAACTACCCCGCTAAAGCCATTCTAATATACCATCGTCTAACATTCGTTGTTTCAATTATAATGTACATGCAGAGAACGTGTTTAATATAGAATTTGCCAACTATACATTATCATTATTAGTGTTTAGTGTAAAAAGGCTTTGGAATGAGATCCAGCGGCGCCCGCCCGACCAGTCGCGCCGCCGCCGCCGGAAGCATTCAAGCTGCACTGCCGTTATTATCAAAATTATACTAGAATTTAAAATTACAGTCAAAAAAACGAACGAACGTATACATTTTTCCTTTTCATCACCATTCGGCATAGAATGCTATTCATCGGTTTGTTTGCTGGCTGGTCGGCGCGTGTGTGTATGTGTTTGTTAAGTTAAAAATTCTTTGACATGACTTATCGCTGATTAGATTATGACAAATGGATAAAATTACTGACGTACGCTTACATCTCACATCCCTCGCTTCCAACTCGCAGCTTTCTTTCTGTGTTCTTCATATACTCTTTATTATAATATTATGTAAAACGTATTTTAAAAGTACAACCAATAAAATGCACTTTTCAAGTGTTCAAGAAACGATTATAACTTTTATAATACACTTTTAGATATACAAACTACAGATAGATAGATATGTAAGAACTAATCTACTATTTATATATTTTAGATTCGTCGAGTCTCCGTCCACCTGTCGCTTGCTCCCGTATCGGAATTTTTCGTGTATCATTTTTTTTTGTTCGTCCAATTTTCCCTTTATTATCATTCTCTAGCGCACCACGATGATGTGAAATTTCTAAACTTAATACAAAAATATATAAAATCCGAGACAAACGATCCAAGTAAAAAAGCGTGTTCGTGTATAATTAAGATCATTATCAGTTTGATTACACTTGTGCAGACTGCGCAAACCATAAAAGACGCAAAGCGCGTACGATCGACAATACAGAATTGAAACAATATGCATACTTGTCGTTATCATTATATCAGTAATATTACATTTTTACAAAATTTCCGCTTCATCAAAACTGCGTTTCGTTCAATAGTTTTTAGTTTGTTTTCATTTGTTTAAGTTTCATCGTACAAAAGTTCGAAAATGTATCCAAAACTCGCGGCCACCGTTGCAAATATCCAACGGGTGGACGCGCGAGCAATTCGTTATTCCTTAGGTTGTTGGTTGTCGTGTATATTGTTACGATGACGATTTCTCATTTCTAATGTGTATAGTTTTAATTAGTAATATTAATAATTAGTATTATTAAAAAGACATACAGTATAATGCATATAAAATGCCTTATTTTAGTAAAAGACGAGTATTTTTGCGTTTCTTGTAAAATCCTAGATAAAAACTATCGGGTTGTTGTTCTCGCGTGGACCATCGCAGTGTCGATTATTTTGTGCGCATGATGACAAGTAGATCGCTTCGCGTGTCCGTAGATAATTGGCGAATATCTATGATTTGGTCGGGCCCCAAGTGCGGCTGCAGCTTGACGCTAGTTTGCACTGCCACTGTTTGTTGTCTTTTCATTCTTTTTTGTTCTTTTGTTTGCACGTTTACGACGACCACATGTTGTGTATTCGAAATGAATGTTGATTTTCTTCCGCAATGTAAGCAGTTATAAAAACGTTTTAATTGATCTTTGTAGAATTCGCTCGATCGTCCGCTTATTCCTCGGCCGCCACTGGTGTCGCCTCCTGTAAATAAGATGGCGGCTGTTTAACAAAACCGGGTACGAAATTTCATATTATGTGCATACCACTGGTGTCTCCGCCTTCTTTACTTCGGCGGCGGCTTCTATCCTCTCCTCAGTCTGTTGCTGCTCTTCCGAGATCACATCGGCTGGTTTCTTGACCTGCAAATGTCAAGTTTCATTTAAGTCGCGAGACGACAATCAAATTAATGTGGCGTTAAGTGGTAGGCAAGTCAATTCAATTCAATCGAGTGCATTCGCTTATTAGTAACAAACAAGTCTCGAGTTAGTAGGGATTCATATACATGTTAGAAATCAAGACTCTGAAACAAACAAACAAACAAAACGAACAAGGAGTGTCCAGAGCGTGTTAGCACATTGCCGATTTGCAATCAACCAAAAAACGTGTAAACTGAAATCATATTAAAACCATAAACAACGCCATTCTCTGTTAACGCAAGTACTCTCTTTCCGGATTCTATTCTGGTGCACACGAGTATTCACCTGTTTCAGAGGTTCGTCAACCGCAGGCTGCGTCGTGGCGTCGCCGTTGACGTACTCCTCGACGGGCGAAATATGTCCGTTTGTTTTGCCGTTGGTCATGGCGGGTTCTTTTTCGGGAGATTTCGGCGCAGAGTCTTGCGGAAGCTCGGACGGCGGTTCGGGAAGCGCTTCCGCGAGTGGCACCGGTACAGATTCAAGAGGTGGCAGTGACATGGTTTCGGGCAACGTCTCGGAAACGGGTTCCGGCAGCGAGGGCAATGACTCGGTGGAAATGTCGGGAATGGAATCGGCATTAGCAACTGGTTCGGAGATGGGATCAGGAAGCGACGTGGGTTCGTCCGCGGGCGGCTCTGGAAGCGATTCTTTAGTTTCAGGCGCTGCGGGAGCAGGAACTTCGGTAGGTGGCGTTGCCGCCGGTTGTTCGGGTTCTTTGGGCGTCTCCGGCGCTGGACATTCGGGTTCCTTTACTGGCTCGGGTGTGGGTTCGGGCGCCGGTGCTTCCGGCTCCTTTGGAGTTTCTTCTTGTTTAGGAGGTTCAGGAACTGTTTCAGGAACTACTTCCGGTTCTTTGACCGCCTCCACAACCGGCTCAGGCACAACCTCCGGCTGTGGTTCGGGTTCTTTAGGTGCTTCTGGTTCTTTCACTGCTTCTGGTTCGGGTACTTTAGGCTGTTCTGGCTCTTTGACTGGTTCGGGAGCAATCTCCGCCGCTTCAGGAACGGGGACGGCGTCGGCTTTTGTGGACTCGGCGAATACCGTAATAGGGTTTGGAGGGTTCGAGGACGGCAAAGGCGGAGGGACTTCCTCACTACGCACCTCTTTGGTCGGTTCCTCGACCACGGGCTTAACAGGTTCGGATACCTCGTTGTTGCTGGGAGCAGCAGGGGGATCCGCTACTACAGTGGGGGTTTCCTCAACGACAGGAGTTGGTTGGGGTTCTTCTTTAGGCGCCTCGGCAGCGACAGGTGCAGGCGCTTCGGTCTTTGTGACCTCCTCGGGAACTGCCTCGCCATTTGTCACAGCAGTGGCGGCTTCCTCAGCAGGCTTCTCCTCGATTTTCGCCTCTTCCTTCACATCGACAGGCTTATCCTCAGCTTTCGGGCTTTCAGCAGTGGGTGATGCAGCATTCTGTAACCGACAAACATTCCATTTCAAACCCACGATAACCACTGCTGGAACTGCATGACCAATTGCAAATGATTAATTAAACTCTATTAAGATCCTTAACGTTAGTACATAACTTCAGTCTAGACGTCGACAAACATTCGGATATACCACTGCACGGAACGGATAAAAACATAAAAGCAACAAATAAAAATTGTGGAAAGAAAACAAATCAATCAACAAATCAAGTACCCTCTGTTGCGGCCGCTTCCCGATTAAGTAACACACGATAAATTTGACGCCGCTCGCGATCAACACAGAGGAACACAGAAAAATGATGATGGATGAAGTGACACCGAGCCATTCGGTCGTTTGAGTTACCTGGCTGTCCATTACGATCGAGAGCGAGCCGCCAAAGTGCGCGCGGACTAATCAACGAACAACACGGGAGGGCAAAAACTTCGCTAAAGGCACTTGTGAGCTCGGATGTCTCAACTGCAAGCCGGCGTCTTCGCAGAGCGACTGGGAGCCGCACCGAGATTCCTCGCGTATTTATAGCCGCCGCTCTTGAGTTGGCACACACCGGCCGGCGCGCCGCGCTTACACCCTACACGACTTTGCGGACCGCGAATTCCATCGCCACCGCCGGAATATGTATGCATTGCTATGTCTACGCGCACTCATTCATACGCCATGTGCAGATAAACAATTTTTGCAAATATTTCAGCATAAACAAACTCTGTAGAAACGTGAAACGCCTTCAGAACGAGTTTACAGATATTAGAACGCAATTTGTTCCCAAAACTATATCCCAATTTAGCACAAATTTTGCAATAAAACGCAATAATCTAAGCGTTGGCGGGCTGGCGAGCCGGAAACGTGTGAATGCACACACTACACGATTTTATTTACGCAAATGCGCGTTATTTTTATTACGAGTTTTCAATGACTACATATTTCTGTGCTCTGGCCTTAGAAATGTTTTTCTTGCATATATTTTTAGCATGGATTCACGACCAAAATCCGCATCCATCAACAGCTCCACCGCGCACGTGTAAACGAAAGATAATATTCGATAGATATCGAATTGTACAACACAACAGTGTCAAATATCAACGTGGGAAAACGTAAATTGTTATTGAGCGTGCGACTTCAAGGATGCGAAGCAAAGTACCTACGCCGAAGGAGCAAATATTTATATCAAAAAACAGGTGCGAATCAAACCCATTTAATTTTAGGTTTGATACTGACCTTAAAAACCCACTACAAGTTAAATACTTTTTCTACGAAAATGTAGCAAAAATTTTCTGGCGAATAGCAAATAAAAGTCATGTTTTCGGAACACTCGTTGGAGATAAATCAGACAGCGCAAACACTTGATCACACATGTTCAGGACAAATTCTACGCATTTATCGAAATCGTCGGGAAACGCTGAAAATCCGTGTTTTCATCAAGGTCGATCAACGACGCAATTAATTGGCATGAAATCTCATATTAAAAATAAACACAAAATTAAATTAAATCTAACAAATCTGTCTCTGGAGGATGTGTGCATTTAATCGCGATCGCATGCAATGAGTACAAAAATATCGGTACCAACTCGCCGGACTGGTTCAAGAATGTGCATCGCGAACGACTTCATCCAACTTCACAACGATCGCAATCAATTTCAGCGCGCAAGAGTCACACATACCCAATGTGCGAGTGGGTAACGTTTCCGTTCTAAGAATAAAATTATGCATGTAATTACATCGACGGTCAAATAATTTGTCGCCGAGAATGCACTTCTGTTTACATTGGACAATGGCCCAAAAAACACGCGAATTCTCAAAGTCAAATAACAATCCCTGCTAATTCCGTAGACGCCGGTGACTAACAACTACAAATGCTAAACGGCTAAAGTATTGATAATCCAGTCGTTGCACTTTGACGATTAGAACATGAGCCCGTCAAAGTTCAATAAACCTTTGCCTTACGCACATGTAAATATAACCAACCTGCGAAACCTACGCGCCGCGACCTGGCGATAAAGATTTATTAATGAATATTAAGGTGGCGCGCATGCACCTAATATCGCCTTGTCCAACATGCACCTATTAAATCAATCCATTTTTCCCTTCAGCGAATATTAAAAACGCGAGTCGTGCAGGTCGCGCGGCGTCGTCCCACGTGCCGAAAACGAGTTCCATTCGTCGCTCATCGACGAATGGCGCGCGCGCGCGCGCGCGGCGCAACAAGAAGTTCTAATTAGAATTCGCTTGCGCGTGGTATCGCGCGCGCCGGAGTATGTGTGATAGCGCGCTCGAAAGTCTCGCGGGCCTGCGCCGGGCTATTTATAAACATTCGCCCGCGGAGTGCGTCTAACAGCGCGCAAGCCAACTGCGAGATAATTGCGGTAGGTCGGGGCGGATGACCGCGCGCGCACGGGTGTGGTGCTGAAGCAGCGCTCCTCGCCTACCCACGTCGCGGCATAAATTCAGCGACGGCACGGTGCCGCCCTCGGTAAACGCGAGTGCAGAACTATTATACGCAAAACCTGTATGCATACATACTAGAAACCAGTATTTGACACCGTGTGGCGCACATGTGCGCACTAATCGCAATCTACTTCACAAGATTATTACCTACTTGTACAAGCAGTCAAAACCGATATTATCACAAACAAACAAAAAAATAGTTTTGAAGAGCATTTTACTACGATGAGTCGCTTTCCGATCGCGTGACTCATAAGATGTCTGGCAGACGAGAAGAAATCGTCCGCCCACGCTGTGTCTGTTGTCAGTCCCGACAGCTTCAGAAAAATGTCTTGCGCAAAACCCACGCAGAATGCAGCAAACGCAAATATAGGCAATTCTAATAACACTTAGAAGCAGTAAATTGAAATTTCGAAAGATATACAAGTGTGGTTTGTTGGGAAAATTGCTGAATCGCCATGACAACCGGCTTTATCGATCGCAAATTATTCGCCGACCGCCCCTGGATAATGCTAAAAACTTGGGGCTGACGAGGGTTGAGATTTTCAGCGCATACAAACAAACAAATATCGCCCGATAGATATAAAAGTACAAGCAGTTAACACACAATGTTAACGAGTAGCTAAAATAAACCTGGGCGTCACGTCCGTTGAATTTGTATTATATTTGTACGATGTGGTGATATGGATGCACCCGGTGTCCGAACGACCGGAAGCAGCAGTGCGTTACGCGAGATATTAACATGCAGCGCGCGTGCGTTTGCGATACATTGAAAAATTCAATGCGATTTCAATCATCATATTGAAGAAGCAGCAGAACCAAAAAAAAAAAAAAAACGCGTCCTCCACACACTCACCTCCTCCTCCTCCTTGACGTGTCCGTTCTTGTCGCCGTCCTTGTTCGGCTTGGACTTATCCTTTTTCGAGAACGAGATGGAGCGGAAGGACCACTTCTTCTTCTTCTCCTTCTTTTTCTTTTCCTTCTCGAGCGACTCCTCGATTTTCTCGTCCGTCTTCTCCTCGATCGCCTCCTCGGACTTCTCGGTGCTCTTCTCGATGTTCTTCTCGTTCAGCTCGGAAGTTTCGTTCGTCACGCGCTCGGCTTCCGGCGTTTCGGGCTGCTTGCCCTCGTTGTCGGACGCGTCACCGTTGACCTTCATCGCGTCGCCTTTCTCCTTCTCCTTGTCGTCGCCGTCGGCCTCCTTGTCGGTCTCCTCTTTGTCCTAAAACAACACGACATCAACATTCAGTCAACATATATCTTCATCGCCACACAACTTGACTGTGTGTGTGTTGAACAATCAAACATTTAAATCGAGTATAAAGACGCAGGCGTTACTAATGCGCATTGTTACTTAAATTGATCAATGAAGTTAACAAGAATCAATCGCAGTGAAATACGGGCGGAATTTTTCCCAGAAGAATTACTCACGAATTAAGCTACAAAACACGACGCCTGATAAAGTCATAAAAGTCTGTTAGAAATACCAATCTGAGAAAATATCTAGCGCATAACAATGACAAATATTTAGTTTTCCACCCATCTATCTATATTTACTTATATAGATAGATAATAAATATTTGAAGCTGAATACTTACAGCGTATTCGATTTCCGCATGATTGACAGACCCGTTGGTGGTGACCTTGGCTTCCAGCTTGGCGTCCAAATCGGCAATCTTCTCCACCTTGCCCTCGCCCTCGACCGGCGACTCAGCCTCGCCCTTCTTCGGCGTCGTCGTAATATCCACCGACCGCTTTGACTGCTTTGCGCCCATGCTTATACTCTTCTTTTCAGTCTTGTGTAAAACAATTAGCGAGTAGTAAAATTATCCAATTCGCGCGATGCAGACGGTCCAAAACGTGAGAAACGTGTGTGATAAAATCGCTGAAATCACCAACCAACAAACAAACATAAGTCAACAAATCACCGAGAGAGGAGTATTAAAAAAATATTACAAATATTATATATAACGGCTGGTAATGCAATGATTCACGTGAATACACCCGATAAGAGTGTACACATCTTGCTGACGATGCAAAGTGCGCTTATCGCGAAGGAAACGCGAGCTATTTTTAAAGCGCATTATTAAATGTCCCCATAATGTTGGACAGCGATAATGCGCGCATTGTGCGCGAGTCGTTGATGAGAAAAATTAACATGGGCGGATTTAATCGTGGGTGAAAAAGCGCCACGAATCGTCCACGAATTTATTGTAGCGAAATTATTGCAAAACATAAAAAGTAAACATAAAACACGCCGCGCGGTGATACAATTTGATTTCTTGAAATTGATTATCATTTATTTGCGCTTTTTCAAGCTCTTAATGATTAATTCTAGGCGAAATACCGCGTGTTTCTGTGTTTAGCGTTTACTCATTGCGCGTACCTCACTGGTATTTCACGAATATCAAGCAATTGAGTCATTTGGAATTTCAGCGTCGCCTCTGTCACTTCCGTTCGCTGTTTGCTACATTTAGCCGGTCTTTGTTGGCCCATTCTTATTTATATGGACGCAATGAAATCACATTATATCCCTACCATGCCTGCGGATGTTTCAAACATTGAAAAACTTTTATGCATTGTCTGGCTAGCCATGAAATATGCCAGCAAACTACGTTTCTTTGTTATTTTCAACATATTTTACCTGCACGGCTGACATTTTTTTGACACGGATAAGATTAAAATATGATATAATAACAACAAAATAGAAAGTTTTTCGTGAAATATTTTTTTCTGAGAATTGAAAAATATTTCGAGTACAAAACAGTTGATGACACATTCCCCAGCTGCTTCTCTTAATGACAACGATCGCAATCTCCCATTTAATTAACACGCTGCTTAATTAATATTTGACACGCTAATGGGCATGTCCAACCCAGAGATCTCCAGTGAAGATTCTACCCTTGAACAATATGTTATTGACACATTGTCAAATCAATTAACATTAATTACAATAATGACAGTTAAAATGATTATTCTTATCGTTCTGAGTTTAACTACCATGTTCCACGCTCAAGATCTGCCCCAATGCCACGAAAAACTGCGCACCTCATCCGGTGGCATCATCACCTCGGTAAACTACGACCCCCATTTGCTGGAAGCCCGCACGGATGGCAGCTGCGTCTACAAACTGCTCTCATACAGCAGCTATCTGCAATTCCACGTCGCAAACGTCGAGCGCACACTGCTGGTCAACCACACAGCATGCACAAACGCAGCCGACTGCTGCCATCACCTGCAGCTGGTGGTACGCAGCGAAGAAACCCAGCATATATCCTGCGCCCACAATATCACCACCACCACCTCCACTGCGGGCATAACCATGCGTGGCAGCGTCTTCGAGTTCAAGTATACCTGCAGTGACATCTACCCGTACGCGGTGCGCATTGCCTTCACCACGTCCATGCTCTGCAAGAGCCATCAATATCAATGCGCTGACATGAGCGGATGTTATCAAAAGCACGAGATCTGCGATCACTACGCGCATTGCATCGACGCCAGCGATGAAATCCAATGCGCACGCAGGACTTGCAATAATTATTTCATTCAGGATGATTTTTTCCGATGTAAAAACGGTAAATGCGTCAAACTTTTACTTCTGCGAAATGGTATAGATGACTGTGGGGATAATAGTGATGAAAATGTTCCAATACGAAAAAATGCATACCTTTCAATAACGCTGGTGGCATTACTAATGACATTCTTAGGATTAGTCATGCGTTGGTATATCAACCGACGCGATATGAGACACCTTCTGAATAATCTGCCCGAGTTCCCGCTTCCGCCCTTCGTCGCGCCCGGTGATTACTCCGAGCGAGAATACCGCGGTGGTGATAATACGCAGCGGAATTATCAGGCGGATGTGCGATGTGGCGGGGATATCTACGAGGGATACGAGGAAGGAATGCGGACGCGACCATCGATAGTCGATTCGAAGAGTAAAAGTCAAAAGACTGCCACAAGTGCTGATGATGCGGACGATAATGTGGTCGATAACAACTGTATTGCTTTAAAAAACGAAGAGCCTGAACATAAAGAGTCGATTTTACGTACAAGAGAAAGAGATGGAAGGCATTCCAAGCAAACCAGGCACGATTCATTAACGGACATTGAAGAACTAGAAGATTTGACGACCACAGGTTGTAAAATGAAGGATAACTTTGAAGAAAACAAGATAGAAGAGATAAAACAACGTTCACAAAGTGCAATATATAATAATCCTATTATTTTTGAAAAATCCAGAGCCATCAAAAGTAAAAGTGCTGGAAATATTGAGTATAAAGAAAATTTTCTTGAAGCTTTGCGAGAGATTAACAATTCGTTGAGTTTAACATCAAATTCATGCTCACCGAAACAAATCACCGCGGATGTAATTGTTCATAACATACCAGAAGCGGAATTATCTAGCACCAAAGACCCGAAACTATGAAGATGTATGAAAATGTATGAAAATGCCCCACCTTAACATGAGGAGCTACTCAAAACCCACTTAACTGTAATCTAAACTTTGTTCTCAAACACGTACGACCTCAAAAGCAGAATTGCAACCGAAAAGAAACGCAAAGAATGCAAATAAAAGTTAATTTTAAACACGCGCGCAAGCTTCAAGTTGGTGCAGCACATTCTTACGTTTATATCAACATACAAATTGTCAAAGAAGAAGAAGAAGAAAAAACGAGGGAATCATAATTCTCGATTCTAAACGGTCGAGTACCACTACACGCCGCCGACATAATAACATATGTTAATGCGTACGTTCGTCTTTTTTTCCTTAATGCGTGTTTTAATTTATGTGCTATGTGCAGCGCATAGTCATACACACACATATAAGTCATAGGCTTATGTTTGCATTTGCACAATTGTCGAACGCGGGCAGCTAGAAAAGTGCACAGTCATAAAATGATGAAAGAGAGCCAATCGTCGCACTCTTATCTTGCGAATTGCAAATGGCATTGTACAAACACCATCTGCTCTGCGCGCGGTTTTCTCACGCGAATCTCAAACACACTGTATGACAAGTAAAACAAATAAACAAATGAATTAATTCGTTTAATAACAACACCAAACGATAAATTACAGTAGGAATATAATCGAGTGTTTATGAAATGTGAGTGAAACGAATTACTGATGTAATTACCAGTGAATTATAACTTGCGTTACAATTATTTCATTAACGCAGACGTGTGCATTAATCAAGCTACTCGTAATTGTTGATAATGAAGCGTGAAGCGTTCGAAATTCAACAAACACGTGTAGCGAAACAATTGAGTCATGCATTTACACGGAATACGCAACTAGTACATGAACAATACAATAAAAGAATATAAACATTTTGGAAGTTTTAATAATAAAATAAAATCGACATTTTGTCGTTGTGGACGCTCGAACGGACGACTTAAGTAAGTGCGGTCACATTCAATTGTTTCGCGTCGTTTATCTATCAGTTATAATTACATCGCTGCAATTGTATCACCAAATGTCAACGTTCTGGATGAAATGTGATTATTTAAATACTTGGCATAACATAATCGAGCGTGTAAACAGTTGCTCGAATTGCACGACATGTAATTCCAGTGATATATACACTTGATAGCCATAAGTGCGTAATTAAAGTCTTCGTATCAGTAAAACTACAAACTTCACGGAATGAATAAATATAAATAACATTTTGCGCGTTTGTTTTTCGTTTGCTGTTGTAAATATTGTAGCATGTAAGAATTTGCTTTGATTTGATTGGTTGGCGTTGACATGTGTGCGTAAGCGCAGTAGCGAAGATGTTGCGCTCGCAGCCAATTGGGGTTACAAGGTCGACATTGTAGATATGACACTTGCCAGCCCTGCATTGCAAGCTGCAGACACAACGCCAACACCAAATGCAGCAGTGTTTAAGTCAAATCAACTCGTATTGACTTAAACATGCAGGCAGCAAGGCGAAACAAGCATCATCTTTGGTCTGATTGATCTAATTTATCATGTATCGAAGGTTGATGCTTGATTCAATTCGCGCATGCAAGAAAAAACATGGATAGGGTTACCATGCGGTCTTACACTTTGTAAACATCGGCGAACGCAGGTAGAAACCGCTGGGGCTTCGTCTATTTTTTCGAATTATGACTTAATTAATTAGCGATAACCTGTTTTTCTTGAGAAAAACAACGAAAAACAAACGAGAGTGGCGGCCATTTGTTATTTTCGGTTTTCGCGTTTACGTTGGAAATTTGCAAGCGTGAAAACAATGACATCTGCGTGTTTGGTTGCGTTGGGCTTTTAAAGAGTGTCGGTGTTGTATCATGTGGGTATCAGAGGCACTTAATGCCCAGCCAACAACCAACACCCTTCCGTGTGACAGCTGGGTGCACACACGCGCGGCGTGCGATGCGCGACCAAGGCGAGACATGTCCGTGTGCGCATGAAGGGCACCCGGGGAGCCACAACCACCCGACAGCGGCTAGCGACGGGGCACATTGCGTGCATGCACGATGCGAATCGCCGCCCGCCCCGATATTGCGACTTTCGCACCGTAGGGCACTGCTCATCCATGCAAGACGGACTTTTGTCGCGAAGAACTTATCAACTTCTACGTTCAACATTCACACGAACATGATAACTTAAAAACCAGAAAACTCTTAAATTCAATTGTATCTAATACGATTTAGTCTTTCCAATGGAAAAGTACAAAACAAGGGCGAAACCGATTGGATTGCTGCGCTCCGTGCACCAACCGTCTTTCATTTGTCGTTTTTTTTTTTTTGTTTTAAATCGCAGATATCTTTCACGGCGCTCGCTAATCGCATGCCGCTGCGTTTGCGGCGGATGGAGATTTGTTTTCGGCGCCCGGTTTAATTCATGAAAATGCGTACGGCACTCACCTTTGGCGAACGTAATCCGGGTAAAAAGTTGGCTCTGCTTAAAAACGAACGGCACTTACACAGAAATCGGGCTAGGAACACACAAAGCCGGTCGCACCGCACTAGGAGGAACGCTCGGCTGCGTCGGAGTGCTGTGCGCGCATATAAACGCGCACGCAAGTTTGAAAGATGGCGGCCGAGTCCCCACCAGATGCACGCGAGCGATTGGTGCGTTCAAACCGGCGACGCTGCAGTGGTGCCAACAGTGGCTTGGAAAATGCACCAGCGGCGCGCCGCCCGGGCCACAGGGCACCAACAGGGTGTGGTGTCACGTGGTTGCGGCTGATTCACCGGATTCACCCACGGTAACTGCGAAAATCCAGGGGGTGGTTGAATCCTGCTAGCGGTGATCGGCCACGTTGTTGAGTAAGGACTAATCGCGATGTGAGTTGCATACGTATTGTCGTTTTAGGCAAAAACAGTATTTCATTACAACTCACGTACGCAAAATAAAACTTTTAGGCTTATTTTTCTCTTTGACAAACGATAAATAATAAAATAAATGTTATAACTCGGTATTTTTGTTTTTATCCTGAGAGGAACAACGTGCGATAATTTTGAGGTTAGTTCAATATCACCGGTAACCAAATTTAAACAAAATGGCCTCTGCTTCTGCGCATTAGTGCACAAAGTCTCTTTTTGCTATTTTTATACAACAAATCAACTTTCTTTAACTATATTACTTTCTTTTCTTTAACTATGTTTACTAAATTTAAAGCACTAAATAACAAAACACTATTATTTAATGATTGTACTATTTGCAACGATAATAAAATTCGTTTACGTATCCAAATGACCCCAAAAATGCTAATTTATGCAATAAGTACAAGCTCAATAGCAGGCATAGGCAGTAAATAAAGAAAATTGTAGTGTCACTCTGTAAACTACGTTTTTTTTTTGTATGCGTGTGTTTGTAGAGGGTGGCGACGCGAGATTAGGGGGCGCCGAAATAAATTGATGATTCATTGCCCCACTACAATTATCCGTATGCAGCTAGTTTACAAGAACCTCAAGGGTCACAAGCAGCGAACAGTAGCCCGCCTCTTCAAAAATCAATAAAGTCAAACGCATTACAGCTTAAAGTGCATTTTTAAACCGAAATAAATTGAAATTGATAGCTGCCGAAAAATGTAAGGTTATGTAAGGTCACAAATTGTTGAATTCAAGAATTTTAATATAACAGTTATATAAGTATCTAAATTGCGTGCAATTATTAAGTTTGGAATTATATTGCTCAATATAAAATTCGTTCTTTGAACATGAAATTGCATTGCTGATTGCTCAATTGACTAGTACTAGTATTGACGATTAGATTGCTATCCCGGCGATCAGTGGCAACATTGCTTATCAATAACTTACATATGCGTACGAACGCGTCGTAGAAATTACGAACGAATTATCACTTGATTACATACTTCTAGATTGTGAATTTGGTGCATTATAAACATGTTGATTGTCGTACTCATAAAACAATGAGTACATATGCATGCTTTGAAGCGTACAGCATCTACTCTCTTATCTAAATCGGTTCATCGATTTGGAAGCATCGTGATTATTCATGATTCATCAATATAGTTACTAGATGTGTGATGCTGCGGCGTAAAGCGTATAGCAATAGCATAAATTTATCAAATCTCCGTGTAGAATGTGGGCCGTTCAATGCCCAAGGAGCGGAATAACAATGGAATGAAGTAAACGATGTGTAGCCCGACAATGGCGCAGGAAATAAATTTGCAGCTCAATTCCACGAAGGTTTTATGCTTGTTATCCAGGGAATTCTCGCTGTTTTTAATATTATCCGGATTTTGACCCAGTAATGCGCATAGCCAGTTGTATGAGACGCGTTTGCATGTTGTTAGAACCAGTGCGATGATCGCCAGACCCAAGATCATTCGCATTATTATACACAGACACATGTATTGTGATGGCCAGTAGATTTCGTAAGGTGGAGATAATTCAGCGACGGACATGTTACCGGTTTGATAATTCAACCATGCGCCGATGTGTAAACCCACTGTAACGGAGATAATCATTGTTGTATCACCCCTAAAATGACAAATAATGAAAGTTAGGTTGAATTCAAAATATTTTCAGGTTATGTATGTATGTACCTAGTAGGCGTCCATTTTTCACTATTGGGATAGTAAACTATCATAAGAATCGACGACATCAGTATCAAAATCGGCGACATCGGATTTGTAAGGAAGTAATTGTCTAAGTAATTAACGCATGGCACCAATGGGAACATAAGTATAATGGCTAGTGCAAGTCCTGCCAGAATATCCTGTAAACCAATCAAAATTTTAAGAATTTTTCTAATAATGTGATTAATTTTTATTCTTACCAGCACAGTGTGCATCCCCAAATAAACTCGACTAACACAAATCAATAAACACCATAGCACCGCGAATGTGAGCCCGATCTCCGTGGTGTATTTGTACCTGTTCAATGTGAACAACAAGACGGAGAAGGGAATTGACACGCCGACCATCGCATGAGTTGAGGGCATGCCATATTCGAGCGCCCATTTCTGCTGGACTCGAACCGCCGGATATCCGGGCCTGGGCCATCTTACTATGTCTTTGATTCCTTGACCTTAAAACATAATTTATATAAGACAATAATCTTAGTCTAGAGTAGATAACATCAATGTTGAGTAGGGTAATTGTTTGATTATCTTTGAATGGAAATATTTGTGTAGTACTACTTCATTCATACAATAAATGTAATTTTTATCAACAAAATAATATTATGAGACATTTATGAGTATCACTGTTTAAGATCGGGTTACGAGGCACAGCAACGCCACTCAAAAATATTGCTTTTTGGTTTTGCATTTCGAAAGCAATGCAATTATTTATAATTCACTAGCTTTTGCCCGCGACTTCGTCCCGGTAGTGTTTAATAAAAATGTAATTTGTTTTTACTCTCTTGTTCTCGACATAGTATGTGTTAACTCTATCAATAAGATTCGCTATTTTATTTTAAAGAAATTAATTATATAAAGAATTGCTATTAATGCGCATCAGCGCGCCATCTCGGATTCAACTATTTAACTATAACTATAATTGAAACTCAATGCCAAATTATATCCTATAGAAAAGAGCTGTTTTTAGGGTTTTCCCGGCAATGATTCAGATTTTTCTCGCCGTAAAAACCATCTTTGCACTTTAACGAACATTTTAAAAACAGAATTGGCCAAATTGATCTAGGCGTTGTTGAGCTATGCGCTTACTAACAGATTTTGCAATTCATTTTTATATTATAGATTATGTGCATTTGATGAAGAATTAATTTCTCTTTAATTTAATATGCATATCAATGCTGTGCATTTTGTATATTCTTAGATATTTCAGGTTAATTGAAAACAATTATGAAATTTATTCAAAATCTATCAAATAAAACCATTTTGGTTAAGTTTAAGTTATAAAATAGAAATAAATGATTAATATATTATTAATTTGATACTAACCTGTGTACATAACAATTGCCCAAGCAAGAACAACCCTCCTCCCAACATATCCATCAATATTCCAAAACCAGAATGGAATAAACATGGAATAAAACAATTCATCGCCCAACTCAGTCCCAAACAGGAAGAAATAATGTAAGAACTTTGAGGCTATCGTAAAACTCTCTTTGTCTGTCTTCTCTATGCTGGCTTGTTTTGTTGAATCCACTCGCTTGATGCCAAAAAATGTTTGTACTTTATACACCAACTCAGGGCTCTTTAAGTACTCAATAGTTTCCATTCTAAAAACATTCAAATTAGTATAAGTTTAAGTTGTGTCATATGACCTCATGTATTAATTAATGTCTACTTACTTGAGGGTTAAGAATTGTAATTAAATTGTAATGTAATATCACAGTCAGCTGTAATTCTGAATGTTTCACGAGTTTGAGCCTGGACTGCAGCCTTCACGCACACCGCTTCGCATTAATAAGTGTGTTAATTAATTGTTTAAATGGTCGACATGAGGGCGACCCGTGCATACCTTTGAATCAATGCAAAGTTCGAGGGTTTCAGTGCGTTTCAATGCGTAATTCCGAATGTCTAACCCAACCGAACCCAACCATAGCACGCGATACGTACGTGCCACACGACGGACCAGGCCAAACTGTTTCCAATTCACAGCCGCATGAATTCACAATTCCGATTCCGATATCAATGTGCGTCGAATCTCGATGTGCGCTGCGGCGGTGGTATTCGCGTCTATTCGCGATATCGCGGTCGTTAGACTCGTCGTGTGCGCAGTCTTTGTACACTTCGTATCTCCGGTTTGTGTGTTTTCGTGTGACGAAACGTCGTAAACTGTGAAAACCGTAGACTTGGAATCGTAATAGATTACGTGCGCAGCTTTATCACTTGCTTTATTATTTAAAACTTGGGATGTGCACGTGCGCACTGCACACGGTTCTCAATTATATTATCAAATGGCAGGTGTAAATTGATGTGTTTTCAGACACAATGGATTGAGAATTCGAATTGCGTCGTCAAGTCAACATTTATAATCATATTTATGTGTCTATGTGATTGCAATTTGTTTTTATTATATTCAAATTGATTTTATTATGTTTTAATTACAAGAATTCGCAGTTTTTTTATAGTTTGTGTAATATTGTACGACTTATTGCGATGTTTATTGGGTCGTCTATATTGAGAAACTAAATAAGAAGCAAAATAACTTCTTTAGGAGCTTTAGTTTCCAAGTTGTATTGATTTTTACTTCCTTTTCGAGTGAGATTTCGGAGTTGCGACGAATCTGGAGCAAAACAAGATGGCGACACGCGCGAATAAATTATTATCTGATAGTTTCATTGTTATTATATATTTTAATGCGCAAAAGCAAATAATCCTATAAATAATCCCCACCTCCTGAGTTTAAATGTAAACAAATTGATTGCGCGCAGGTAGAGCAAAAGTTTCGTGGGTTTTTACTAAGATAACTCATATTATCAAAACCACTTACATTATTTACTATTTTCTGAACAAACTAATAAAAAATCATTAATATCGTCATTCAGAGATACTATCTTTCTTTTTTCTCACGTGTAAGTCAAAATGAATCATAAAATAATTAAGTCAACTACATAATTTTTACTACTTCATAATGTACATAACTTTATACCCAACAAATCCATTTATTATGCATTTATTATTTATTTAACTACATCTACGTTTTCTTTTTCACGTTCCTTCCACTTCTCCTTTAATTCGCCAAGTTTTCGACGACGTCTATCCATTTCATTACTCTTCTTACCATTAATTTTGTCCATTTGTGCTTGGACACTGTCTTCTTTATTTATTAGGTTATCTAATTTTGTAATCAAAATATTCCTTGCGAGTTTCCTATTTTGATCCAATGAACGACTCTGGTGGCTTTTGACAACAATTCCAGTGGGTAGATGTTTGAGGACAACACAATTTGATGTTTTGTTTGTGGCTTGTCCTCCTGGGCCAGCTCCTCTTACATGTTGCTCATCTAGTTCTGATTCTCTTAATATGGGTACTTTGGAGTAGTCTATATTGGTGTGTTTATAACATATGTAGGTGTTGTTGATGAAAATATTAATGTGTTTTACAATTTGATGGTTTCTAATTACAGTTGTGTTCAACATTTTGTATTGTTTAAGTTACAGAACTGAATGTCTTTCAAGAAGAGCTAAACCTTTCTAAAAATAAGACAAAATAGTAAATAATCATGATAGAATTGAACATTGTAGTGTTGCAACAACTTACATTATAATAATGATTGATATCTCCTGGATTATCCAGGTTTTTGTTAAGTTTAAACTCTGATTTGATTTTTTTATAAAAGTATGCTTTATCTGTGTACTGGACTTGCTGACTGTAGCGAAGGAGACTTTTATAAAGCGATAGCACTTGACGACTTGCAAGTACGCACATTTTGCAAGTTTTGAAGAGTTTTAAAGAGACCAACAGCCTCGTATTTAGTTTTTATCAGCTGTTCACTATTGTTGCACACAATTTCTGTGTAGTTTGAGTTCATAACCTTAAAAATACGCAATAAAAGCGTTAAAATCAAGTTGACAAGGCACTAAACTCAAAAACAGCATATTAAAGAGTAAAATGTTTGATCAAAGTGCTGAACTTGAAGAAAATCGTCGTCTTGATAAATTACTTGATGTCCTAGCGAGTCAAAACAGTGATGACGACGATGATTCTGATGATGATTCAAGTGATTCTGATTCAGATGTGAGTATTTTCAATATTTTCTTTTAAAACCATATAAACAACAAGAGATTTATCTTTATTCTAACACATTTCATCAAATAATAGTTATTAATTAATAATGTGACAATTAAAAAGTGATATTAATGTATTTCTTCTTAGATACAGTCAAATGATGGAGATTCAAGTACATCCAAAGCAGCATTCTCAGTTTTGCCAATTCAACCATCGCAAATCGCACGTGTGGATATTTCTCACATCGCTACATTATCAAACCTATTCCAACATATATCATTTGAAGAATTTGACCTGATAACAGACTGTAAAGACCCTGAGTTAAAAGAACTCATGGTGCTCAATCGCGCTAAACATGTGCAGATAAAAGCGCTCATCACAAAATACACTGAAATGCTTGCTGACTGTGAAGACAGTTTACGTTTTCATGAGCACAATATACAAAAAATTGAACCGCTCATCAGAGGAAACCTCAGACTGAACCGATGTGGTTTCCCGTATTTTAACTACAATCAATTTCGGCCACCAAACAACCCGGATTATTTCCGAAAGAAACAGGCGAATATTGTCAACTTGAACTACGTAGTTCGACGGCAGAAGGCTTCAGTGAGAAAAACCACACGTCTAAGAACATGCGTGCTTTTTCATTATGTGATGCAACACGAAAACCGCGATGTGTTGGGCGATATTTCCGATGAAAATGCCATGGTTAATATTAGTAAAGTTAAACCACCGGCATTATATGATGATACTCACATAAATTGGCATACGATTGCTGAAAATGATTTCGGTGGTGAGTATTTGCATGATGTACATTTGGTTGCATACTAACTTAACCTCTTCTAACCATAATAATTGTATTATATTACGTTTAGATCCGGAATTAGCTGATTGTTTGAGGGGATTGTGGAATAACTACGTCCATCCGAGTTTGAATACTTCGAAATTCACACAAGAGGAAACTGATAAAATGATAGCATACATCAAAGATAATCCAGGGGCATATTGGATGGATGTTGCGAATATGTTACAAACAAATCGTAGTGAACATCAGGTTTGTTCACATTATCATTATTTCACCAATGTGGATCATACAAATACTGTTGTACCCGATGATGAAGTTGATTTAAATCAATGTCAACGGATCGGGTGGAAGCCATCTTGGTTTGCATTCAATCGTGCTCTTCGTCGTGAGCGATATCTAAAAGATATAGTAGATTGCAAAGCAGGCGCTTTTTCTATGCAAGAAGACTACAAAATCCTATCATTGATAAAGAAATACGGCGTTGATTTTCATAAAATAAGTGAATGCATGCCTCACAGATCAAAAGCGCAGATTTCTCAACGGTATAAGAATAATCTCCAACTTTTTGACCACCGTTTCGGCAATTACAAGCTCCATGACGACGAAACTATCTTAGAACATGTTAAAAAACACGGTGAAGCAAATTGGATGATTTTAGCGGAGAAATTGCATCGGAACCCGGGGCAAGTGAGGCATAGATATAAAAGACTCCGGAAGTACATGGACGAAAATGGCAGAGTTGATTTACAATCAATTCCACGGCGAATTGGTTATGGCGAACGAGCTAAACGCCTACAGATAAAAATCATGCACGCGAATAGCTTGGACGAATCAGAGATTGATGCACTAGCGATGATGCCAGTTCGAAAAGTTCGCATGCATTCGGATATTGATAATTTAATCGTGCAGTTTTTTTCACCTACTGCGCAATTGAAGAAAGTGAAACAAGTGAAAACTATCGACGAAGATAGATTGGATCATTGCGCAGACAGTGTGCGCATAATATTGAATATTTTCCAGGCAACTTTAAATATTCCAGAGGATTTAACTGAATTTCCTGAATTGGATAAAGTTGATATGGAAATATTGGATGAATTAAGAAATGAAACTTTTCAACAATCAGATAATATAGTAATACCACCGAATGTCAGCTCAACTCAAGCATTGAGATATTTCCTGATGCAGAGTTTTTGTGGTGGTAGTGAAATACAATCGGAAATTGGTGAAATCACACCAGAAATGCAAAAGTTTAAGGATAGATTTAAAGCATTCTTCAAGATACCTTCGTTGATGTCGATTGTAGAGCCGCCCGATGCTATCAGAGAGTGGATATCCGCTGCCAAAGCATATACGAAGCCAAAGGAAGCACCGCCGAAGCGCACACGTGGTAGACCAAAGAAGGACTTGACGAGGATTCATCGAATGCTTGAAGCTAAAGCTAGAAAAGCAGAAAAAGCAAAAGGAGTTAGAAAATCACCGAAAGATGTGCAAGTAAAGGCGAAAAGTCCAAAAAGGAAACCGAAATCTCCTAAAAAAACAATAAAATCCCCTAGGAAAACAAGAAAATCTCCTGTGAAACAAATAAAATCACCTAAAACACGAACAAAAGTTGTTAAACATGAAGATAAACCAACAACTTCAAAACAATTGAATAACAACGCTAACAATAAACTTCAACAAGGTTTGGCGTTTACATTCGACGGTAGTAAATTAATACCTGATGATAAACCTATTATAACTCCTGCTCCTCAAGTTGCACCGAAAGTAATGATACTGAAAAAACTTGATAAAGCAACCATTGAAAGATTGAAACAAAAGAATCTCCTCAAATCGGCAAAACCAATAAATGTGATAGAAAAAGATGTTGAACTGGTGCTTTCGACTGCGAATGACAAGAAACGTCCGTGTGATGCATCACCAGAAGAATCAGTCGTTAAAAAACTTAAAATTACCGAAGTGGTTTCCCAGGCACAAAATGGCGACTGTAAATAATTATAAAAATTTATATTATCTTGTTATAAACATGTTCATTGCATCTGGGACATCTTTTTGAGTTCCGGAGCCACTTGGAAATTACATCCGGTTGAAGAGAGAACGTCTTCGACGTTTACGCCTTCGGCAAGTTCGATTAATGTTAATCCATCTTCAGGATGAACATTAAACACGCACTGTAAGAAGATATTTTTCTTAATAAGAATCTATTTTTGATTAAAATATTATTATGTTTACCTTTTCTGTGATAATCATGTCAACGCATCCTTTTCCAGTGATTGGCAGCGTGCAATTCTCGATAATTTTCGGACTTCCATCCTTGGCGTTGTGTTCCATGCATACAACGACTTTCGTTCCGGGTGCAGCGACTAAATCCATCGCACCACCCATGCCTTTCACCATTTTACCCTTAAAATCATAGAAATTATGTTTTAACAATCAAATGTCTATTAATTGATAATTTCTTACCGGAATCATCCAATTGGCTAGGTCGCCATATTGCGACACTTCCATAGCGCCCAAAATGGTCAAATCAATATGGCCGCTTTAAAAAATAACATTTTTCAGTATAAAAATTTTAAAATTTGTAATTTTAAGACATACCCACGAATCATAGCAAAACTATCATCACTGCCGAAATAGGAAGCACCTGGCAGAACAGTAACAGTTTCCTTTCCAGCGTTAATCAAATCAGGATCGACTTTATCTTGCGTAGGGAATGGTCCCAATCCAAGAATACCATTCTCAGATTGCAGGAAGACTTCTACATTAGGCGGAATGTAATTGGATGCTAGCATTGGCATACCAATACCTAAATTTGCATACATTCCATCTTTGAATTCCATGGCGGCACGACGTGCTATTCTTTCACGCATTAATGCAGCTGGAGAACTCTTGGCAAGAGATTTCGGACCGCCTTCTTTCGTTACTGTCACTTTCTATATAATTAGAGCATTTTTATATGAATATTAATTATAAATTAGGTTATGTTATAGTTTCTAACCTCAATTCTCTTTTCGTAACATGGCCCCTTAATAATCCTATGAACGAAAATACCTGGCAAGTGAATCTCGTCAGGTTTCAAATCTCCCACTTCGACGATTTCTTCAACTTCTGCGATTGTGATGTTTGCTGCACGCGCCATTGCCGGATTGAAATTTCTAGCTGATTTACTAATAATAAATAAATTTACAAATCCAGTTAATTATAAATTATTAAAAAAAAAACTTGATATGTAAATGTAACTTACTTGAACACAACATTGCCGGCTTTGTCGGCCTTGAGACCTTTGATCAACGCATAATCTCCTGTGATTGCAGTCTCCATGATGTAATTTTTACCGCCGAAGAGACGCGCTTCCTTTTGTTCGCTCGACATAACAACGTTTCCCTTGGTGTCGTATTTGATTGGTGCACCACCTTCATGTACCAGTGTACCATAGGCAGTCGGAGTGAAAAAGGCTGGGATGCCTGCACCACCAGCTCGTATTCTTTCCGCTAACGTACCCTAGATATCATAGCACAACATAACCTTTAATATATTAATCTAACCTATGTTTTATGCTGCTTACTTGTGGCGTTAGTTCAACTTCTAATTCTCCGCACAAATATTGTCGCTCGAATTCAGCGTTTTCACCGACGTATGACGAAATCATCCGCTTTATCTTTTTCTGGTTTAATAACAAACCCAAACCAAATTTATCTACCCCAGCATTATTTGATACCATTGTGTAATTACCAGCTTCATGTTTTAATAGAGCAGCAATTAGGTTTTCAGGGATTCCACACAAACCAAATCCTAGAAATTATTTTATGATTTTATTGCATTGTCATCAAAATAAAAGACATTTACCTCCAACAAGAATGGTTGTATCACTCTTGATATCACAGACTGCTTCCTCAGCACTGGCATAAACTTTCTTCGAGGTTTTAGTTGCATAGTTACATGAACTGATCTACAAGTTTAATATTTCAACAATAAATAAATAAATTAAAGATTGATTGTTTCTTAATTGTTTGTAAATCAATAGTTTTTTACCTTATAAAGAGCTCCCAACAACCGTACGTTCGGTCTTTTGTTTAAAATCTGTTTGATTAACATTTTTATCAACTAATTCGTTTCTAACCTATTTTTCTACTTATTTACGCAATTAAAGTGTTTTAGCAAAAACTTAGTAACCGATTAACAGCAGAAATGATTCGAATGTATGTTTTCTTCAAAGCTCGCAGTAAGTATGATATAATAACTTGTTTCAATTTATTTAAATTGCGATAAACTGCGCACCAACACCACAGCAAGGACAACACATTCTACATTTGCATACTCGAACCGGGCGACTAAAAAAAGCATTACGTATGTACTATAACGGTAGTATATAGGCGCATATGCAATAAAATGTTATGTTCTGATCTTTGCTCCCTTCTTTAATGTCACAGCAATTTATTGTTAAACTGATAACATTTAGAACAGTACAATTTCATAATAAGTTTTAAATATAGGCAACCAAAACATCATATAAAGTTTATATTTTTTTACTTGAAATAAAATTATATTTTAAAACATTTAAATTGCAAATTTATTCTAATGAATTTTAATTTGATTCAGTTTCCATTAAATATATTTGATATCAAAATAAATATTAAGTTTGCAACCTAATATACATCTAATCATCGTTTCTTGAAATTGTAACCTACAAATTCATCACCGGTTGTGTAAATAACCGACTTCTATCATCTATTACACGCGATAAACATTAAAATAAAGTGCTTAAGTGTAAGATGGAGGACTTACAACGTAAAATATTTAGTGCTCTACAAGAGAATGACTTGGATAAAGCCAACAATGATATGTGCCTATTCTGCAGCACGTTATCTGAGGACCTCAGCTCATCATCAATAGGTGAGTGCTTAAATTTCAAGCAGAAACAATAATACCTTCTATATCCACCACTTTCAGATGCATACATCAGTCTATTCTTTACTAAAGGTGCCAGTGTCATGACATACCTACAGAAAGTATTTGATGCCAACACTTCCAACAATTTCAATGAATACCAATCGATCACATCATGTTTGAGCCTCATTTACATGCTATTAAAAAACTTCCCTGCACAAATGTCTGATCACATTTCTTCCATCATCACAATGAGTTGTGTTATGATATCTGAACCGAGATATTCCAAATTTAAGCAAAGAAATGCCGAAATTTTATATTTAATTATTTCATCCAAAGAAATCGAAGTAGATGAGAAATTCACCGTGTTTATTTACGGAAAGATAAAGACTAGATTAAGCAATGATAAATCTACATATGCGTTAGCTATTTACATTCAAATAATGGGCGCTTTCACTGGTAATAAATACATGAAACTAAAAATCGAAGAAATAGCAAATATCATCTTGAATTTTATTAAAAACATCCCGGGGCACAAAACAGGCGTGCAAAGTTTACTGCAGGGTGGATATAATGCAGCACATGAACTCATGGCCCACACAGAATTCACAAGTGAACAAATTCTATTATTATACCAATATATGAAAAGAGATGTTTTATTCAATGAAGATCTTGGACGTAGGCAAGGTTCACGAGCTGTTGTTGATTTCACAGCCGCAAATTCAGAAAGTTTCGGGACTTGCATCCAAAACGACGTACAAATATGGACAGATATGTTATATTCGTGGTTCAATTCACAATCAAACGATGATTCTAAATCTGGATATGAAGCATTGATATCAGTCTACAGAGCTGTTGGTAATGCTTGGTCACAAACCGAAGATTACCCTCAATATTTCCCAACAATGCTTGACAACGCAAAAGAAATATTAGAAAAGAATAACAATGACAATGAAACTAAACTGGCAATTTATACGATAGGTTTTCTTGCACCAACAGCAGCGAAATTCATGACAATGAAAAACTTTCGTGATTTATTCTTGTTTCTTCTGCAAAGAATTGAATATTTGATTTTTGTTAAAACAGACAGTAATGCGAATGTCCTCACAGCGAATTCATGCGATTACGTTGAGGCAATTTCTCCGTTTCTAGAAACACTTAAAACCGACATTCAACTACACATTAATCAATTCAAACGTGTTACAATCATTCTAATCAAAATGTTTCCTAATATTTTAGTTAAAAAACACGATATTGTTGTCAAAACTCTACGTAGTATGTTTAAAAGTATTTCAAGCAATGCTGTATTCCATGATTTTGTTAAAGACGTCGTGAAACAAGGTGTAATTTGGACGTGTTCACATCATTTAGCGGAAGAAGTCGAAATTTTAAACCTGGATGAAGTTACTTATAAAAAATACTTACCACTTTGGCAAGGTATACTTCACAATTCAAATAAACCCGTTTTGGAAGATACACAGAAAGAATTATGGAATCAATTGATAAAAAATCTTTTATATATGAGTGATAAGTTAGATTTGAGGATATTAATTGATGTTAGTGATAATTCTGACCAAATGCAACCGCAAAAATGTAATGATTTGGTTATTTTTGCGAATTTATCAGATTTTTACTGCGATTTATTGAATTTTGCGAATGCAGAGTGTATGAAACCTTGGTTGGACACTCTATGTGACCACATGATAAGAAAATCAATGCAATTGCCTTTAATCAGTGGATTTTATAAAATAATGGCGACCGTAATGAAGTTATTCGATAAAGTAGACCATTTCCATCAAAAACGCGTCGATCAAAAGGAACACGTGCGTGTAACTTATGAAAATGTAAAGAATTACTTTCAACATACCTTGAAACAAGTCCACCGCTTCAAGAACGATCTTCAAATGTCTTGTGTGTTGTTAATATTGCATATGCCGATGTCAATAGTCAAATCAATCCATTATGATTACAGTGGATTTTTCATAGCGGCGTTTAAACTCGGCCAACATAACTTTTCATTGGCTAATGAAGCATTGGATACATTATCAAAGTGGTATCATCAGTTGCCTGAAGATGTGTCTTTTGATTTATTAAAGAAAGTTGTACCGTGTTTGGATGCGTACTTACGAAATCAGTTTGTTGTTGGTGATAGTTTTCATGTTGAAGGGCGTAAATTGAAGAAGTATAGCCAGAGAAAGCTGGATGTTGAAGTAGAGCCGGAATTAGTACAATTACAGCATAAAGTGTTGAAGTTCTTGGCGATTGTACCAAATGAAATCTGTTTGGAGTTGAATTCGATTAGTGGTGGTTTGAAATTGACGAAAAGTGATACGAAATTGTTGAAAGTTAACTTACCATTTGCGGAGAGGTGTTTGAGTTTGTATTTGGATCCATTCTTGGATAGAGTTTTGATTTTGAGCATTGAATGTACCGATAGAAAGGTTAGGATCACCGCTTGTGAGCTGCTACATTCGATTGTCATCGTGTTTCTGGGCACAAGTAAACTTGCATGTAAGTATATACTGAATATTTTTATAGGTTAGCTTTGGTTATGTGGATTTTTATATTTATTTAGCCATACAGAATAGTGCAAATGAATCGGATCCACAATTGGAGCGGATATTATCCGCCATTTTGCGACTAGCGAGCGATCAAGACACTACAGTTGTTTCCCTTTTCAACCCTCTTTTACTACAGATGGCGCATTGGTATGCACATCCTCTACATACAAATTCAACACACGCGGAAATTTTTATTAAAACTCTAATGGTAAGTTTATTTTAAACTTAATAATTTAATAGAATTACATAAATTTATATTAAAAAGGATGGCGTTTCAAATGAAAATGACGGTGCAGTCCGCGACATATCCGGGAACATTCTGCGAGAATTCATAGCTTGGACACGCAAACAAAACTCGAAAATGTCACTCAAGATTAACATAAACAACGTGAAACTAATCATTGCGTATCTAATACAATTTTGTCTGCATCCAGACGAAGCTAAACGTTTTGGTGCAACTGTAATCTTCAATAATATCTACCGTGAACTCCGCGAAGAAGATACTTTTGTAGATTTCTTCTGGTTGGAGATTTTGTACGCGTTTGTGATGAATTTATCACTAGTAACACCAGCGACAAATGATAATAATCTACTGAATGAAATCAATTTGTGTTTGGACCGTGTAACCCGTTGCCTTCTTCAGAAACACACATTATTCACCAGGGTGACAACAGAGCGTAGAACACCACCGAAATTTAACGGTAATACATTCGATGATGCAGCTTTGTTTCTTCTGCAACACACCTGGCAAATCAACACACATTGCCGCACGAAATGTATGGAAATATTCAAGAAGTTACCATCGGAGACTTTGGTGAAAGCACTGGGGCATTATGATATGAATTGTTACATGCATGACTTGCACACGACGCCATTTTTTCACTATGTGACAAGTATAGAGGATGTTTTGAGATATTTTGCAAGTTTAACTTGTTTTATTGATGGATATATTTTTATTACGGAATTATCACCGAGTTTTGACCACTCTGAGAATATAATATGGTCTATACTAGATAAATTAATAGAAGATGATTTTAAAAAGACGAGTTTAAAGGATATTCAGAAGTCACTCGATGTAAAAAATGATGTTTTGGTGCGAAGGATCAAAGATGAGTTTGTTTACTACCGTGCGAAACTAGTTGAAAAGATACTTTCACTTTATGAAGTTGCAAATAGCGAGGTGATTAATGAAAACGTCTGGAATTTCCTGGCGGATTTCATTTTTGACTATCACAAGTTGGGATTGATTGATTTAACCCACAAAAACTGGGAAGATAGAGCTACTAAACTGATAAAATTGTTTATGGATACGACAAAATTTAATTCCATCACTGTACAAGTGTTTGCTTTGACTTGTAAATGCGCCATTTCAAAAATAGTCGAAATGGAGAATCATCTAAGTCCAGATTCTGAAGTGGAATGGTCTAATCGACAAATATTGAAAGGATTGATTGTTTTACAACGTATTGATAAACATAACGAACTAGAACTACCACAAGTTATTAATTCATCACCTTTGGCCACCATTCTCAATGTATTAAGGTTAGATAAGATGGAAGACGATGAAATATCAACAATCACAAAATTAAAAGACTCCCAACGGGAATATTTCACGTTGAAACTTGAAATGATGTTGGACGAAGCCCATAATCCCGATTACAATCAAGATTTTGATTTGTTATTGAAATCTTTATGTTGTGAACAATTGGTTTACAGTACCGAGTCGAATACTACACTCCCACAAGGTGTTGTTATATTTTTATTGTTTAAGAAAACAATTCTCAAACACACTGTACAAGAAAATCGACTTTTTACTACACTAGGAACAATTGCAAATGAATCCAGTATTGAACTCCGTGTGAAATATTTCAAAGAATATTTAAAATATATTTATAACACACCAGTACTAAAAAATAATCATCAAATTAAAGAAGAACTAGTAAAAAGTATAGAATATATTTGGCCTAGGAAGCAAGCTGATATAGAAATGTTATCAGACGCGGATTGCATGGAGTTAATCTATGATCTGCGATTGATTGTGGATGAATTGTCGTGTTTGACAATGTTAGACACAGTAGCGGCCATTTTGAAACGCAAGCAAGTCTCAGACACGCAGCAAGTTCATCATCTCACACAAGTCGTGCGTGTGTTGGGAATGGTTGCACCACGAGGGATATCCTTAGACATTGCAAGAGTTTTGTATGAAATGAAAGCAGATAATTTGGTTTATTTTCAAGCACAGACTAAACGTGTCACTACCACATTGTTTATCAAGACTTTGTTTGACGCTACACATTATTCTTACTGTTTAAACTTCTTTATCACTGCGTTGGACTTTTATATCATCCTAGAGAATGATTTTGAAGTAGACACAGCGTTTTGCAAGGAATTCATGAGTAAACTTCCAAAAGATTTACAAGCACCGTTGATAAATGAAATTTTTGGCATTGACAATGAGTACACATTCAAACAACGGATTGTATTGGCGTTATGCTTGTGTAATATAATGGCATATTGTGAATATGAAGTGTTTGAGGACTTTTATGTCAGAAATATCAGTATTATCTTGGAAGGATTTAGTATGGATTCAGTTATGAGCAAAACAGTGTCTTGTATTATGTTGAATAGATTGTTTGGTAACATAAACGTCGATAACTTTGCCAATTTAACGTGCAAGATCACCAAAGCTGCTTGTGCGACTGTAAACACCGGAAGGGAGCTGATTTCACGCGTTGCTACTATTCTAATCAGCATTGTCAAGGATCATTTCAATCCTGGTGATGATCCGGAAGAGTTTCGTTTGTATCAGTGCTATGCCTACAATGCATTTGCAACTTTTGTGTGCAATGCACGAATGAATAAAGAATTCTACAGTAAATTATTTATTCGTTTAGGCAGTGATGGAGAAGACATTTTATGGACTAAACTTGTACCACTGCAGAAATCTTATGATTTCGAAATAGTAGCTGATGACATTCCGAAGAAAAAGAAGACTTTGTCAGATATAAGGACACAGATTACAACTGATATTAAACCAACTGAATATATTGAAAGTCAAAATTTGTTTCTGAGTACTCTAGCTGAAGATATTACTAATTATGACTTTACCAATGTCTGCGTACGGTATGAAGAAGGCAATAGACTTGATACATATAGAAACGATGCAATGGCATTGGAAATTTACGATGAAGACATCAACAAACACGAATGTATGCTGCAAATTTGCGCTGTGATCAAACACATGTACGAACACGACTTGTTACAAGCTGATGTACCACCCAAATGGGTTTATGATTTTACAAGTATGTTATTCAAGGGCAACACAGCGGTAAACATCCGGCAATACCTCTGCAAAGTTATAGAAAACTCTCAGGAGTATCTGAAACAATATGCGCACATTTTAATCCCCGGTGTGATTCGTACAATTTGCGAAACTTGCAAAGGTTTGAATAGTCTTGCGAGTGATTGTGTTGTTATGTTGTTAACAACTTGGAGTGAACATTCACCATGCCGGCATGATGTGCAAACATTAATTCAATATTTGATGATTAACTTATGGAATTATCGCACGGATGTCTTTAAATATAACGTTAATCTGTTGAAAACCACGATTGAGACTTATAAAACGTTTGAATTACCCGATGGATTCTTAACTACACTGTTTGCTGATAATGTGGAGTGTAAATCGAACAAGTCTGTCATTCATATCATCAATATATTGCTTGTGAATAACATTTCACCATTTCCAAGCAAATTGAAGACATTCTGTACTAAAATGTGTAAATTATTGACTTGTACTGATCGGTTGATTTATACTGCAACAGCGGAGACATTGGGTTTAGCTTTGAAGTTTTTGGACGAAAATGGACACAGCAGTTTGACGCCATTTAAAAAAATGGTAACTGATGAGTTGCAGGCTATTTGCAGCAGTAAAGATAATGCAAAAGGGAAGACGTTTGTTTATATCTTAGAAAGTGTTGTCAAAAACTATCCGGATATATCTGCGACACTTTTAACGTCGATTGAAAGACTGATTGCTTATAGAACTTGCACAGAAATAAGCAAAACAGCGTATTTGAGGATTTATTTAAAGTGTATTGATAGAGTTTGTGAAACTGGATTGATAAATAGATTATCCCTGACTGATTGGGTGTCATCGTCTTCTTTAGACACAGTTATCTTGACTCTTGAGATAATTCTACAAGGAGTTGATTATTTCGATGGTGTTAAGGCCGAAGCACTTGTAGAAAAGGTTGTTAACCTGCCTAATAACAACACAGTCTGTCGTAGTATAAGAATCGATATCCTAAATGCATTTTATAAGAGGTTTTACCAAGGGCAGGATAATAGAAGTGCGATTATTATGAATATGGTTAAGGAACCTTTGATAAATGCTTTTGTTGAGGTTGAACAGGAGATACGCAACAAAGTTTATGCATTTTGGACTGGAGAGGATATGTTACCATCAAGTTTGGAAGAGAAATTGTTGTATCTCTTGGAGAATTTGTATGACAAAGCAAATGAAGAACTATTTTTGACGTTCTGTAACTTTTTAATGTTACATGACCTTAAAAATTATGATCAACCAATCTTTCCGGATGCTTTGTATAAATGTGATTTCCATGAATATGAAGTGAGCTCTCATTGGAGATCCAGGAATTCCGCCATGATGCCTTTGTATACTGCTTCATCACAGTCTCAAGGCACACAAGGATTTTATCTGCGTGCAACGCAAAGTTATGAGTTTGAACAGACACAACAATTGGCCACACAAAGACAATCTTATACACAATCTGCATCTGCGATGACTTTTGGTAATATGCCTGAGTCAACACGTCCTGATAATAATCAATTTAAAAATCCTAATGATTTGAATATTTCTATACCAAAAGTAAAGAAATGGAGGTTTTTCAAGAACAAAGCCGATGTGAGCAGGCAACATGCTATTAGAGAAATCCACAAAGGACAGAATATTGAAAAGCAAAAACATGATGCGAAAAAAATGAAAGAAGTACAAGTGAAAATCTACAGAAAGTATAGATCTGGTGATTTTCCTGATATTCAGATTGGAATCAAAGCTGTGACGGATCCGCTGAAAGAATTGAGTAAAAACGATGGACATATTGCACAATTACTCTACAAAAGTCTATTTGATGCGATTATTGACACTGCGATTAATGAAAACTTTCTGGAACAAGGCAATACAGCAATCCGTAATATTTTAGCTACAAGTGCAATGTATGATCCTGTGTGTATGGGTGCTTTTCTTCAAATTGCTCTGGAACACAAACACAAGATGCGTTTCACACCAGATTTAATCAAAACTGTAGCTACTAAAAGTGGTAATCTTTCCTATGGCTGTTTACTCCTTGAAGAATATTTGATTAATCGTGAAGGTAGTGAAATAGAAGGCAGTACATTACATTGGATAAGACTTGCTGATTTGTATAAGAAAATGGAGGAATGGGATGTCGTTCAAGGTATTTTCGCTAACAAAATGACATGTACTGGTAATTTGTTAAAAGAAATCAAGATGGCGATCAAATGTGAATCGGAGAATTACTGGGACACCGCACGAAAACATTATTTACAGCTAATACAAAAAGATAGTGATGTTAATCGTAAAGATTTCTATTATGAATCGTACTTTAAATGCTCGGAGGAGTTGTCTGATTGGCAAGAGATTGAAAAACGCTGCGCACAAACTACAAGAAGTAATCCATTGCTACTTTTTGATTCATTATGGGTTACGGAATGGAACAAAGAGATTCTTCTGCCGTATTATATCAAATCACAAGTGCGTATGGGAGATAATCCAACGAGTAACAAACCTGAGTTTACGACTACGTTATTTGAAGCGATGAAAGATGGCGGCAAGAAATTACATCTACGCAATGAATTCAGTGATGAGTTGGCACTTTTATATCTTGATAAATTACGAATTAAACTCGCTGGGAGTTCGGCTGAGAATCACGCAAAGCGGTTTCTGAAGTTGTGGAAATTTACACAACCTTCTTATACTTCTATGCAAAACAAAATGATTTTGGCGATGAAAAACACCGCTGAGATTTCTGTACTGCTTGAATTATATGACAACATCGACGGGGAAACTTATGAACCAATAATTGGACATCTTGAAACACTATGGACGAAATCAAATGTAAAAGATAGCGTTATTCCTACACAACATTTAATCACCCGAATTACTTTGAGAGAATCTTTTGTAAATCTAACAAAATTAAAGTTACAAACTTTATTGTTGGATGAAGATGTAGTTGAACGAATGTCTCATAAATTATCAGCGTTATCTTTCGGTGCTGAAGTTAATATTATACAGAAAGCTTTACAACAGAAAAATTTACACCTGGCGAAATATTACGCCCGCAAGAATTGTAATAGAACTGATACGAATGGATTAGATCAATGTATATCTTGGTTATTGTACAGTAAAGTTGTACTAATGCGAACGGATTTTCCAAAGGCATTCAAAGGACATCACAAGTGCATTACACAATTGAGTTTGATTGACGAGCCTTCTATTGCTATCGATGCAGCGTTACACCTGACTGATTTATGTAAAAGTCTTGTAGATGCATCGGAAAAGTATGAAATTGACTTGGGATTGTACCGACCTTTTGTTACCACTTGCACAATAACTAGATTCACTGATTTGTTGAGTTATAGTTTTGAAAACCTGCGTGATACTTTGTATGATGTTGATCGCCATGAAAAAGTTAATGGCGAACAGTTAGCCGATGCGTTTTTGAACTTGGCAAATGAATATGCTGCTAGAGGCGGCGGATATGAGAATAGATTTATTGAGTGTTCACTGAAAAGTATGAAATACGGATCGGAAAAGGCTAGATTAGTCTTTCCGAAGTTATTGGCTGTTGATGGATTACGAGCTATTCATAAAACACAGTTTATTCAACAGGTATTTTATGTTTTTACCTTTTTGTAATTTTATTAATTAATTTTGTTTTAGTCTTCATCTGTACCGATTTATATGTTTATTTCATGGATACCACAATTGTTGGCTTATTGCGACACGGATAAAGTATCAGTGATTAAACATATTGTGATAAACCTGGCTAAAGAGTACCCGAATTCCATTATCTACGCTTATAAACTCAGCAGGGCTAAGTTTACCTATGATTTTGAAGAGACTCGTGATTTGACAATTGAATTAGACGATTTACTGAATAATGAATTGGTGGATAAAATGTTAGCGGCGTTGAAATATGTTGCTGTGCCTTCTACAATCATGAAAACAGCGCTGGATAAATTAAAGAAGGCTTGCAAGGAGTCACAGGAGGCTTTTACACAAACTGCTCAAGAAGTTGTTGCTTTGTTTAATAATGAAGATGATTCCATGTTGAGAGGAGAATGTTATCAACGCGTCATCGAGTGTAAAGATGAATTGCTGTCTATTATAAATTGTAAGTTATTTAAAATTCATAATAAATAGAATATTTTAAAGAAATTATTTCAGATTCTCCATTTGATGAAGAAACAATTTTCAAAAAATTGTGTGATTTCACATTGCCAAGTCACCGTTCAAATGACTTGGGGCATTATTCTCTCTGGTTGAAAGATTTTCATGCTTCTGATTACGAACAGGAGATAGAAGTCCCCGGATGTTATACTGGTAATTGTCGACCATTACCACATTACCATCCAAAGATATCCAAGTTTTCCACGGATGTCAAAGTGTTTCAATCGTTGCAAAGACCAATTCGCATATCAATCTACGCGAATGATATAAAAGAATATCGATTCTTGGTTAAATACGGTGAAGATCTGCGACAGGATCAACGTATCCAGCAGTTGTTTAAACTGATGAATGTTGTGTTATCCGCGGATGTGAAATGTCGCGAGAGGAAGTTGACGGTGTCGACATTTGAAGTCATTCCGTTGACTGCAGAGTTGGGTTTTATACAGTGGGTTGATGAGACGGATATTTTAAGGAATGTTATCACTAATCGATCAGGGTATCCCAGCGTTGAACCGAATATACGAAAATTAAAAGAAACTCATCGTTCGAGAATGAATTTAAGATTAACTAGTGATGAAATACGTGATTATTATAAACAACTTGTTGATGGTATACCATGGGACGCTTTACGGTAATTTTTTTTGATTAAATTAAAATATTTGTTTAATTTTAATTCTTTTTGATAGAAAATCACTTTGGAAAATGGCACCAGATCCAGAAGCATTTTTCGCATTGCGCATGACTTTTATCAGGAGTTATGCAGTGATGTGTATAACAAACTGGTTGCTTGGAATTGGTGATCGCCACTTGGATAATATCCTACTCAACATGGACACTGGTAATGTGATTGGTATAGATTTCGGACGCGCGTTTGGATCAGCTACACAACAACAACTTATCCCCGAACTAGTACCATTCCGTTTGACGCCACAGATATTAAATGTTATGATGCCATTAAAAGAAAATGGACTCCTACATCAAGCAATGGTACATTCCCTAAGAGTACTACGCGAAAATTGTGATATATTACTATCTACAATGGATATATTCATTGTGGAACCCACTTTAAATTGGTTAACGTTCAATGAAGCAACTTGGAACCCATCTATCATCATGCAACTAGCCAAGAGTAAATTTCAAGGAAAGAATTCAATCAGTATTATGATAGAAGAAGTCAAAGCAAGACAAATTGGTTCACTAGATGATAATAACACTTACATTGAATGTTTGGAGAACTTGTTGGATTCATTCGTTGATGATACAGATGATGATGATCAAAATGGCGGCCTGAGTGTACATGGACAAGTCAAATGTTTAATTACTCACGCGACTGATGCAAACTTATTAGGACGTATGTTCTACGGCTGGGATCCATGGGTGTAATTGTTGTTTAACTGTAAGTTTGTATATTTTTCAAAGAATTAATTATTAGCTGTAATAAACATTCGCGAATATAAATGGCCGACTGTTTTGATGTTGCGCTGCATAATCGTTCGCAGTGTTTTCGTATACACATCGTCAGGGCGAGTTCGTTTCGGGTCTCGCCAGCTTAAACCATTTGGATCTTTCTCGAACAACGCTGGTGAAGGAACATTATCTCGCATGTAGCACCAAATACATTCTCGGAGAATTGAAACAATCTTGGGAGAAATATTAAGATTATTATCAATTTATGTTTAATATATTAAATAATTTACCTCATGGGAATTTAACTGTGTGATGACATCACGGACGTTACAGAGAGGAGCTGGCAGTAACTGTCCAAGTGCCATTACGTCCAACACAGCAATTGTTGTACCCATTAGATCTTTGTAATTTTCTGTATCAGTTGACTTGCGCTGATCGCCCATACTCGTCCATTGGTGAATAAGCGTAGCTGTCAACGCCCGTAAGAGAACTGAGCAATAGCATAGTGATGGGCGGTGCTGTGCGACTAGATTGAGCAAATCCCACAACAACGGTACACTGTTAAACAGTCGCCGGATGAGGAGGTCACGTTCTATTGTTACTTTACTAAACTCCTCCTCTAACCACGGCAACCCGTTGTACATCACGTCCGGACTGACGAGTTGTACAAGCGTTAACGATATCAGCGTCAAACTTGCGTCCGAGTCGGAAGGGCGAACGCACGACTCTTTAATGGCTGTAATTAATTCTTCCGAGTTGCCAGCGACCAGATCCACGGGCAGACGATACAAACTGATTGATTTCCGTTTCCCGTGCCCGATTACACCGCCATTGTATACGGAAGAATGTTTTGAGAGTGGAATAGTTTTGCTCTGTGGATATTACAGCTTGTTACAGTTTAGATAACTTTGAATAGAATTTATTACTCACGATTTTCTTGTTTTCCGTGATTAGATCTTTGTTGCTTTCTGCTGGTTCTTCTTCTTGTTTTGGTTTAGCGCCGAATAACACAGCATCTTTTGAAAACAGCGCGCGTTCTAATAATTGACGTAGTGCTAAGTTTCTTGCCACTTTGGAAGATATACAGAGTTTCTTCAAGATACTCCTTGATTGTTTAAAACCGCTTATTCTTTTCATTAAATCTGAAATAAAATTAATGTAAAATTAATTATGTAGGCATACCGTTTCACAAAGCGGCCATTTTCTTATTGAAGACTTACCGGTTTCATTGCAACATTGAAAGAAATAATTAACAGCTCCATGTACATAGTTAAGAGTGACTTGTACAGACATTTGAGAACTATTTGCATTGGGTATGTCCAACAAATCCAAAACCTCACACAACATATCAGTGCATTTAGCGCTTAATACTTTGTTTCTAAATATACCAGTCAGTTCAGTTAAATTGAATTCAATTCCTTTTGAGATGCATTTTGATTTTAACATAAATATGTTGTTAGTTTTCTCCCACCTATAAAACACGATTTAAAGCTTTAAATTATCTTTTAAAAGTTATTCTAAACAACTTACTTTAAAAGTAGTAAAATATTACTCCACATCTGCTCAAACTTCTCATACTCTGAATCAGTAGTGCATCCTTTCATCCTCACAAAATCCTTATCAAGAATATGTTGTAATACAATCGAGAAAGGTCCTCCTTTCTCAGCATACGGTGATTGATTCTTACAAATCAACTCATTGTTCAATATCCTCACAAAATACGCCAAATGCGATGGTTGTTTAGCATTTTGCAATAAAAACGACAGCGCCTGAATCAAAAGCGGCGGATTAACAACACCGATGTAGATAATTAATCGCGCAGCGGTTTGAGCAGTAAGGGCATCATCATGTAGAAGAAGCAGGTAAATGTAATCAATGTCGTAGATCAATGAGTTGAGGAAAGCCGCAGGCATCATGTGATTCGAGCTGTGGAAGCGCACTTTATAGTCGACTTCCTCCAATACGCACTCTAACAATTCGCGCGTCCAATTGCTAATGTCTTCGTACTTCCTCCCCTTGCCCTTCTTGTTCAGCGCGATGCACTTGAGCAGTAACTCGATGATGTGCTCGCCGCCCTTTGAGCACTTCATAATGAGAGCCACCATTGTTTCTTGGAGTGCGTCAATCGAACCGAAGAACTTGAACCAGTCGTTTGTCATGTTGTATAGTTTCGTTATAGTGTGCACAGTCACTAGAACAAATAATTAATTCAATTAATTCAATTAATTAATATTTGAAAACATAAAAAAACAAAACAAAAAAGAAAAAAAACTTACGGTTTTCTTTTATTTGGTCACTAATCGCGTTTAACATTGTATCTGACAATACAAAAAGTTGTATGAGGAAGGGAACAGTTGCTTTCCGATAAATTTCATTCTGTGGAGATGAATCTTGTTTGTCTTCATTAAGACAAGACTAAAAAACAAAATAACCTTTTAAAAATCAACTCAAAATGATAATTTTAACCTAATACCTTAAATAAATCCAGCAAAGCATTTTGTATATTCCCCGGATGACTTGTTGCAAGATGCCCGACAATACCAACAACCGATTTTAACTTCGGCGACTCAATTCCTTGTCGATATGATTTATTCTCACAGTAATCCTTCAGCCCACAAAACAGTACACGTTCAATTACTGTCTGTGGGAAACAGCTGCCAACATGAGCCACCACCCAATCGAAATGCGGTGAGTGTTTTACGGACGTATCAAGCAATGCACTAATGCACGCCTCGGTATTCGTGTGCATTAAACATGCAAGACATTGTGTGGTGATATCAATCAATGTTTTGGTGGCTCTGCAGTTCATCCATAATTGAAGCGACTCATTCAGTCCATTAACACATGCTCTGCCTGCATAATGGGTGGATATTTCACCTAATAATTCAAGAGACCATGTGCTGATTATTGGAGCCCATGCTTCTCCATTTGATGATACAAAACTGATGAGTAGACTGTAGATGTCATTTATCATTAGTTCGTCATACTCATTTGGAGGAGAAGACTTTCCTGTACTCATTTCCTTCTGAAATGAGATTTAAATAGTTTTAAATAGGTTTTTATTTGTTTTTGTTTTAACGGTGTTACCTCAAGGTGGATGATGTGATTTAATGCAACAGAGTCAAACACTGATTTTAAGCAGTGTAAAGAGGCTGATCGACTTGCTGGTAGGTGTTTTAAGAGGAATAAACATGATTTTGTGAGTTCAACAGTTGTTATTTTTGTTTTTGTTGTGGTTGCTGTGATGAACAGTCGAAGATCGTCGATTAATGCGCCGTGGGTGGTGCTTTTCACCGTCATTGATGGCTGGACACTCATTTTTAGTGTTTATGTTTAATTCATTCCAGTGGAAACTTTTAAAATTAAGTATTTAATTGTTAAAACTTAAAAGTTTTCACAACAGTAAAGCAGGCATAACCTTTGTCTGTTTTGTGTGAACTGATGTTAAGGTAGCATACGCTTTCTGTTAGGCAACCAAATTCACGTAAGTAAAATATGATTAAATAATAGTAAAACACTAAAACTTTTACTGAAAAACTTAAAGAACATTAAAACGTATTCACATTAAATGAAATTATTGTGTTATAAAAGTAAGTTTTAAAGATTTACTTTGTTTCACTTAAAATTTAAAGTGTGTAGATTCTGTCGATGGTTACATTCACACACGGATACAAAACGTTTTTATTGCGGTTATGTTTACTACAAGCCGAAGCACGACAAAACAACGTTTCATCACTTAAATTTATTTAAAAAGGTAGTATTTTAAACAAATTTAACAAAACATTATAATTAAAATATTTTTTTCAGATTCACTTCAAGTTTGAATAATGGCAAAGCATCATCCAGATTTGATCTTCTGCAGGAAGCAACCCGGAGTAGCTATTGGTCGATTATGCGAGAAATGCGACGGCAAATGCGTGATTTGTGACTCATACGTGCGTCCCTGCACATTAGTACGTATTTGCGACGAATGCAATTACGGCTCTTATCAAGGACGTTGCGTAATTTGTGGCGGCCCAGGTGTATCTGATGCGTACTATTGCAAAGAGTGCACCATACAAGAGAAAGACAGAGATGGTTGTCCCAAAATCGTAAACTTAGGAAGCTCCAAAACAGATTTGTTCTATGAACGCAAAAAGTACGGGTTTAAGCGACGATAGGCTAATTCTTTTTATAGATTTTGTACTTTAAACATTATGTGAATTTAATTTATAAGTAATTGCAACAAGAAATAAATGCCTGCAATAAATCACTTCAATAGATGAGAGGTTATTATATAATCCATTTAGTATTAGTACTTCTTTAGTTTGTATAATATTTTATGCACTATTTAGTACTTAAATAAGGAGCAAAACCATTGAAAATATTTCAACGGGTTTAATTCTATTAATAAAAATTAATTGCCACTTGTATCACTTGAAACTGACTTGTACGGATGGAATGAACGTTTTCCATGCGCGATTTAAGTAAAACCAAAGACGCAGAGAGCTGAGACTGCACTACTGAACCACTCGGACACGGCTGAGCGCATGGCGTAGGTAGTAAACGAAAAAAAAAACACAAAATACGAAAAAAAACACACTGCGCACTGCGCGCTCCCCTTTTATACTCGCGGCAAACCCGCAGAAATAAGTGGGGGAAGAAACACTGTTTCACGGCACGAACCAGTGGTAGTGGTGGGGGGACATGTGTCACCGTTTGCGCAACCCGATGTCGTCCACGTAAGGTCAGACGTCTTTGACAAGGGGTACCAAGGAGTACTCTCGCCATTTCAAACATACGACCCCCAAGGGGGTCCCTTGTTGTTAATATTAGACACCGCATCCGGCCATTCATTATCCTCAAGTGATTACATGTGCAGTTTAGCTTTAAACTCAATATAACACAAAAATAACTCGAAATGCTATAAAATTTACAGAATTCACTTTACCAATAAACCGTAAACACAGCCAGTTTTACGACTACATATTAATATGCTTTTTATAGAAAAATACATACCCTCTAAATTAATATATTCCAATAAAAACAGTTTTAATAAATCACGTCCTTATTTCGCAAATTTAACAACCCGCATGCCGCAGATGCTCTCAAAATTAATATTAACAAAACCTCCTCCAATGCGGTACGCATTACAAGCCATAAAAACCACGCTTCAGTTTTTGGTCCGGCCGCAAATTCACAAATCCATGCAGTATGAGTAATAAAGTGTATTATAAACGCGTGTTTTCGCCGAGCTTTATAGCGCACTTCGAACAAAGTACACTCGATGTCGACGGAAGTTGGCGCGAGTTAAAAAACTCGTTCATCACAACGTTTGAATGGATATTAATTCAATCGTTGGCGCGGTGCGCAACGCATATTTGCCGAAAAGTTTGCATGTAAAACTCGCTCGCGAACATCAAATACCGAATGTTTCACAACTGAAACTCATTCCAAAAGTTCTAGTTATTATTTAATATTGGTGATTATTAGACAAAATGGCTGACTAAACAGTCCAATCAAATTTTAGCTGGTAACAAGCATCGTCAGCGCAATTTTCAAACAATTTGTTTCGCAAAACGTGCACTTTACAATAGCTACGCCGGTGGATATATACAGGAGGAGTCTACGGACGCAGTCCTTCTTGTTATTGATTGCGCAGGACGCCAGGACGACCGAGGACAAGTGCGAGTATACCGTGTCGCCGGCGGAAGTATAACTCATGTGTGGCAGATTTGTGATTTTATTTGGCGAACCCTTTTGTGCGGCGATATTTCTTACGCCTCATAAATTGACACGCATGCCGAGACTCACCTCGCAAATATTTACGTCCTTGTCCTCCTTGCCGTCGTCGATCTGCATATTGCTGCGCGAAAAAACGTGGAAAACATTTCGCGTGTGTTCCGGGACATCACAACTTACTTGAATATTTTATGTCGCCGAAGAAAAATGGAGTTAAACACGGCGGAAACATGAAATTCGAATAAAATTTGACAGAGTTGAAATCATCTGAGTGTAAAACGTGACGCCATAGTTTATATAACCGTGCGCCATCTGTCTAAATGCGTATAAAGTTTTATACCAAAAAAACAAACATTTCCTCGTTTTTTTTTTTTTTTATTTTATATGTAAATGAATGTCTTGTGCGCTATTCTTGACGCTGGAAAGTCTTGCGGAAAAGTTTTAAATTAAAATCCAAGCGTATTAATTAATAGCATGTTATTTCCGGTTGGCGCAGCTGTAATATTTCTTCCAGCACCCTTCGTTGGTGCGTTTTTTGTTCTGGAGCTATTGCGAAGCCCGCGGGCGAAAAGAATCTTCTCCAGTTGGGGCTGTCTGTCCACAATTCGTTCGGTGTGCGTTAGCCGGGCGGATTTACTTAAATCCGCACACCGCGCTGCAATTTTCTGAGTCTTATTGCGAAGCTGGGTCTCGTTGTCACTTCCTGTCCCTGTTGTCACTAGGCGACTGTCAAATACATTCTACTTTTGCATTTTTCTGAAACAATATGGTGTATTGTGTACAAAAGACACAAAATTGCGTTTGTTTAACATTTCCAGTCATCAATCAATACTCTTTTGCATAAAGTATACGTTTTTTATGACTTTGGTGAAATATAGTGTCATACAATGTACAAAATTGACAGAAGATGGAAGTGTATATTTGGTTGACAACATTCAGGCGTTAATTTTAATTTTTGTTCGAAATAATTGATTTGATGCGATATGAAATGTGAAATGTAATATGAAATAATAGCATTAGCAAATTATATGTTCCCGCAGCGAGGGTAATTTAATTTTCCACGATGCGCGAGAGTAAACTAACGCGGAGGAAAGCAATTTACGCTCTTCGATTCGAGATTATTTCATTTTCCCATCGCCGTAATTTCGGAATTTTATTTTCGATGCAAAACAAACAATTGCCAACCGCACTATTCGATTTGTGATACGATCAAATTTATATATCTATATCGAAACTAACCGGGAATTTATTATCTAGCAGAGGTGAATTAATTTTACGGCCGAAGTCGCGGCTATTAAATTGGAAGTATATAAAAATAATATTTGGAGCATTCATCAAAATAAAGTTTAATATGTGTGTGATTTAATATGAAAGTTTATACAAAATCCTGCGGAAACTTCTCTGCCGGGTTATTTCCAAGGGCGAAGCTTCCGGGGACAATATAATTATGCCGGATGCAATTAAAACTTTTCACTCAATAGATTTATTTCTAATGCGCCAGTTTCCGCCTCTGCATCGCGTTCTGATCATAATTACATCCTGTTAATTACGACAATTGATTTATAGGAGATTCAATTCTTAAAAACAATTTGTGTTTATAAATTTATTGAAAATTTTACGATATCTTGATGTGAATTATAAGTTATATTCATTTAACCAACTTTTCTCTCTTATTTTACTCTCTTACAGTTTTATTTTACCAATATAAAGTAGTTTATGTTCTTTGCAAAGGTCTAACATACTTCTATAACAAATTTTATCAAAATCGGTCCAGAAGTTTAGATGTTAAAAGAAAAATTCATAGAAAAATTGATTTTTAGGTTAAATTTCTGTAAAATATAATATTTTAAACCGGATTATGATTTTAAATTGATTAAACAAGCATCGCAAAGTGCGATCATGTACAGATATCATTAGGATTGTAATTAATCATGGACATGAGCACGGACTCTCCGCATCTTAGCTATCAGCGCAATGCTTTCCCCAAATGTGTTGCACAACATTCTAATTACACCGAATTAAATTAAACCAAATAACTTTGGTTGCCAACAGCCGTCGGGTCGCTATCCTGAAATTCACCCGTAATGGCATGACGCAAATTAATTAATTTATTAATAACACCGCCCTTACATGCGATTCGATAAATTTAATTGCGATTTTTTGTGCTTTGTGATTGTGTCAGAACATTAAATTTAATTGTATGATGTAGGTAGGATGTACTTTGTGCAATTATAAGTACAAGTACTCGCAATCGGCAAATTGTAATTGGAATGGCCGTTTGTTCCTGGCTAACCTAATCGCCGCCAGCAGCTTGATTACATTTGGTCTCGTCCGCGCGCAATGAAACCTGAGCCAATTAACTCGGATTGAATATCGTCACATACGCCAAATGCCTATTTGTACATTTCATTATGTTTTATAGCTAAATTGGTTAGAGAGGTTGTCAAGTGAGGTTATGTAGTTTAAAAAATGATTATTGTCATGTTGGTTGCAGTATACGCGACATATGTTTGTGACCAAACTTCAATACTGGTAATAATATTGGCATTTTTCAATTTCGAGGATGTGGCACCGTTTACGCGCAAATTGCAACAAACCATCGATGCTCCACGACCTCGGGCGATGTATATAATCTTGACTGTACATACTGCTTTTGCTGTTGGTTGATTTCGGCGACAAGCTCCAACGAAACGGAACACGAAGCCGTGGGGTTTGTTTGCGATATGGTCTAGTGTGGTGTGGTACTTTTGGTCGGGTGCGCATGTCGTCGGTTGCCATGCGAGGAGACGTGGCGGACGGGCGCGAACTATTCGCTCGCAATAATGGACGCCGCGCGACGACGGAAGGTATTTACACTCCATTCGGTCAACATGTGGCATACGTATGTAAATACGCCCACGCGCCAGAGCAAGCAACATTCCCAATTTCCAAGTTTCATTTCGCCACAACGCCCACATCCAAATAACGGACGTAACCTCAAATGAGAACCCCCACAAGATACACACACGCTATATATTTTAGTATCTATCGGAAAAATGACGCACGATTGAAATTTTGTTACACAACCCCGTCGCAATTTAATCATCTTCGCAGATTTAAGCATCGCATATCTCTTTTTTATGACTACTACTTCCGATATCTGCCGGCGCTTTAAGAGGAAAGTTAACTCGTGTCACTCTTCAAAGGTACCATTAAACTTTAGATCTACACGTGCCGGTTTTAAACGACTTTAAAGGACATTAAAATTAGATTAAGATGCTTTAAGCGTACGAATGTGGGGATAATAAAGGTGTTGAATGCGAAATGTGGTAGCGCACAATTTCCATGCATACGAAGAGACCGTTTCTCTCCGCGGCTGCGAAAAGTCGGCAAATTCCAATTTCGGTTTGCCGTCCTAAGTCTATAAGGCTTTAAGCAGAAATATAATCGTGGAATTCATGAATGCGTACTCCACCAGAAACTTTTCGCAAAGTTTTTGCGCTCAAAATATGTTAATTCTAAATAAAAATATACGTAACCTCAAATTTCGACTGCGGG